TACTTTGGGAGGATAGATTACCCGGTATGCATCTGCGGGTAAGACTGCAGAGGCCAAGAAGCCCATTGCTCCAATTAATGAAAAAATTGCAGAGTGGATGCCACGTCTGTCGCGCACACAAGGTCAGTTAATGATTCCGCACACTAAATGATAGGGGTTAACGTACCTGTTGAAGTGGTCGGCTGACCATGAAACTGCCACCGTCACAACATATGCGGCGGCATAAGGCGGGACTGTCATTAATTGGGCTTCGAGATTCTTATATCCCAGGCCGGAGGTGATGGATGGCGTAAATAGAGAAAGACTTGAGAATGGGGTAGAAATTCCAAAGTAAATCTATTTAAGGTGAGTCTCTGTTTTCTAGAGCAAGTGATTAACACGTACCGCGTAATGGCCGTATAGTCGCCAGTCTGTGAGAACACTTTTCGCATCTGTCCAACTTAGCGTTTTCGCATTACTCTGCGACCCCTCTACTTGAAGCCTATCCTTTGCCAGCTCCAGCTCGGCAGCACTCAACCAGCGCGCCGTTTCCGGATAGTCCGGTAAAAAGAACCAGACAAGGATCGCTGATGCGCATGAAGGTGCTCCCTCTATAATAAAAAGCCAGCGCCAGGCCGACAGACCATGAGATCCATTCAGGTAACCAACACCATAAGCGATAGCGCCGCCGAACGCGCCAGCTAATGTAGCGGATGCTAGGATAAGTGCCACGCGTATTGAACGTTCCGAGACACGATACCAAAACGTGAGGTAATATACGAGTCCTGGGAATAGTCCGGCCTCGATGACTCCCAGAAGAAACCGAATACCAGTAACGTCCCCGAAGTTCCGGGAGCCACCAAGGCCTATTGTGACAGCACCCCAGGAAAACATTAGAAACGCGATCCATCTCTAGAGAGAGTTAAAAAAAAATCGTGGAGTTTCTATAGAAAGATCCAAGACATACGCTCGGTCGCAGCTTCTTTAACAAATAGTTCGAGGGCACCTCAAACAGTGCATATGCTACGAGAAAAACCATCAAGGCGATCCTAGATTGGGAAACTGTTATACGCATGAATCTCGCAAGCCTGGAGGAACAACACATACGTAAATTGGTAATTGCTCATATGTGTTTCTGACAGAAGGTCATCTCCCGTATCCATGTTCAGCACTTTAGCATTTCCTAGATGCCAACGGCGCTTAACTTTTTTATTCAACGGAGTGAATTAATGTGTCACTCACCAATATTTGAACGGTCGAGGTAACAGAGCAAATAGATGAATGCCGATAAAGGCACAATGCGGAGGTCTTGTTTCCATACCAGAGCCCTTTCGGCTGTGGCGTCGTCGTCGTCGGGGGCTCCATCTAGGGTGATTGAACTTTCCTAAAAGGTAGTCAGCATCGTGAACTGCTGGTATCAATAAGGGGAGGATATTGCGGACGCGAACTCCATTTTCGACATCTTCCTCGTTCTTCCGGGGCTTTTCGACATGTGCGGTCATGTCTCCGCTTTGATAGGTCTCCTCGCACAGATACAATCTATACAATCTTTACTTTATGCACGAGATACGTATAATATGGACCCAAAATGGTAGAAGAGGTTTCTAATGCAGCGCGCTTGATCGATAGCGAAGTCATATAAGCTGTGGGAAGCAAGGAAGGATATGTGTTGTCTGCGTCGGCGTCCGTCACCGACGGAGATAGTCCGAAACTTAGCCTGAATTAGGGTTCGCTCCTTTTTGCCCCGCAATTCCCGGCGTCGTGACAAGAAAAAGTTGGAGAATACGCGGGGTCCAGATGATTAGCAAAGATCCGAACTCATGGTATTGGTGTATGTCTACCCCACAGTCATCACGCCTTCAACATTGTAGTTTTTCTTTGTCCGGAGGAAAGTCCGCCAGCCTCCACCGGAGCAACAAAAGTCCCTGTGCTTTTAGACACAGCGGGTGGAAAGGATTTTGAGGTATGCACGCATACGATCAATGCCACCGGCGAAAGTCTAGATGCGATAAAGTATTGTGGGTCTTGCCAGAAAGCTGGGGTGGCCTGCAAGTACGTGGACCGGACTAAGAGTCATCAGCAACTTCTAGAGGGATTGCAACGTCGCTTAAAACAGGTCGAGGCGACTAACCGCAGCGTAGCTGCAAGGATCACTGCTCATGCATCTCCAGCTGTACAAAATGATAATGATGATAGTGGTAACAGGGGAGGGTCAGAGATGGCTGGACCAAATGTAGATCTTGTGGAAGGCGTCGGTGAACGAGACCAACGTGAAGACGAGGTTATAGAGGAGGATTCCTTTTTTCCAGTGGAGCTGGAGGAGAACCACACTTCTTAGGCTCAGCTAGTGGTGTGTTCCTTGCCAGCATGATCAGCACCGGCATGGCAAGGCGCGCCAGGGGATACATCAAAGGAGCTCGCGGGAAAGCACAGGTATAATCCCACCGGTATCACCTCTGACTACAGCCTCACATGAGCGGTCGACACTGCCATCAGAACGAGTGGCCCGTAACCTCCATCATGCGTAGCTTGAACATGACCACAGGTGTTATCCTTTCCTCCACCGTGAGACTACGCTACTCGCATTGGACCAAGTTTATCAAGACCCTTCCTACATTGAGCACGATGCTTTCGCATCGTTCGTGTTTGATATGATTCTTGCTATTCCCACCGCTAGTGTGCGTAAGTTTAATATGGAGGCGCTTGCCGACGCAGAAACATACCAGGTACGGGCGATGCAACGGCTCAATGAAGTAATGCGCAATGGAGGTATCCAGGCGCTGCAAGCACTCTTATTGTTGTGCCAGTATAAAGTGACCAATTCCTTTCAGGATACATCGGCAAGTAAGTATTACAACTTTTGTAGGCCAAAAAGATTGATCTGACATTTATCATGCTTATGGCATATTGTTGGTGTTGCTTCCAGGTTGTGTTTCGAGCTACGGCTTCAAAGAGAGCAGACCTACCGGCCGATCCAGGGAGTCCCTGCCACTGTCCAGGCGTCACGTGTAGCCATCTCAAGAGAGATTCGCCGCTGGTGCTTCTGGTGTTGTGTTGCGATGGATAGGTACAGCTCTCCTTAATAGCTCTGTTCGTCAAATTAATGCCTGTCTATCAGAATTATAAGCATCACACTAGGAAGACCTCTCGCTATCCAACTGCGTGATGTAGATGTCCATCTTCCTAACACTAGTCATGGTGCTGCCGTATGTCAAGATAACACAGAGCTAGATAATCCTTTCCCATCGTCGTTTTGCCGAACGGCGTTGTTTGCTCACATCGTCCGCTACCACATAATTTGTGGCGATATATTATCCACACTACATATTGCCTCCCCTAGACCACCAAACGATACAGCAGCTACTCTTGCAGCTCGGGATAAGCTTTCAAATATTCTAGCCCAATGGCGACATGACACAGCAGGGTTGTCCCTCAGAAATCGACTTGGCGAGTCCCTTTTAGGGGACCAACCCAGTTTCCGCTCTCGTGAGTGGCATGAGCTACTGTATCATAACACACTTCTTATGTTATACAGATCGTCACCAGCACTCTCTCGGCATCACCTCAGGACCCTATGATGCTGCAAACAATATTCTTCGCTGCAAAACAGTCTATCACATCGCTTTTCTCATATTCATCAATCCCGTCGAGTCAACTACACGTGGATCACTCCCCAATTCTGTTTTTATGGCTGGTCTACCCTCCATATATGCCTTGGGTCATCATTTCCGATCTCACAAGCGTCCTAACACTAGGGCTGTACCTTCAGCCCTCCTCCAGAGCGAACCCTCAATAAATCGAGATAGTCCATGACTGCAGACCATGCTTGCGGGTGTGATTGACTATCATCCCCAGGCCATCAGCCCATCAAGGAATACAGCATTTCGAGCCGATGAACATATATTATCTGTAGGTACCTCAGCGGACAATAAAAACTCATATTTTGTACCACTTGAGTCCTGGGGCCTAGATGAAGCGGCTCCTAGTGGTCTAGGCGTGGATTCCGTTCTTCGGGAGTGTTTGAACGACTTGCGGCGCTTCCAGATGTTAGAATGACATGCATGACCCAGCCGGGCGGTTATTCCATGAATGGATGGGCGAAATAGGTAATATAGACTTGGACCAAACGCCTATGTGTTGAAGCAAAGCTCCTGGTGCAAATATGTATGTATTGGACTCTATTGATTTCTCGATTTTCTTTGCCATGTTATGATATTCACACGAACAATCTTAAAATCCAACCCCTTTCTAAGAATTTAATCGGGATTTCCACAGCACGGCTTCGTAAATAGCTAATACCTTTGCCAAGCCCAACTAAAACTAGCATTTCCACGTCTTAAGAAGTTTAAAACCCCAAAGTGGACAGCGAAAATACTCACAGACTCGCATCGCTCAATGCGCAGTGCATTATCCCGACGTGACCAGTAATCCAAGCAGTTCCTGGAGCCAATGGACTGTTAAAAATGACTGCAACCACGGATATTCGTCGGAGCTTCGGACAAAGAAGCCCACGTTGAAACTAACCCCTCTATCGCCAGAGCGGGCGTGGACTATACTTCCCAGCTCCTTTCCAAACGGATAACTAAGGCTATGATGACGCACTTCCGGCTCCAAATGACCTTGCGCAACCTATTCGGCTATTGGGATTTACCCGGTCGCAAATCATATTGTTTACAGCTTTGTCGCTCTTCGTGGGACATGACATCCATTTTCTGGGAAAATTCAGATCAGATCTCTGGAGGTCGCTAGCTTTAAATTATGCGCTCTTCCTGATGTCGTGACTGTTTAATCTCAGACATGCAACCTGCCACGATGAAGGTGTTACTTATAGCTTGTTTGCTTGCTGCCCTTAGGCCACTTAAGACACACTCGAGAATCAACTGTGCTGGCCTACCTGGACTACAAAAGAACCAGGCAGCGCGTATCCTCCAAGCACATAAAGTGTCTATAGGAAGCCTCACTCTGTCCAAAGGTGGCGAATTTGTTCTAGACAAGATCCCGTTCTGCCACATCCAAGGGACCATCAACTCCATGGCTGACGACGATGCCACACTAGACCCAACCAGAAATAATACCCTCACCTGGGAACTCTTTCTTCTAGACCAAAAGAATTACAAAGCATGATTTCTAGCTGTAGGTACGCATAATAACCTGCCCTTCAATATCCTTTATTTTTACCAAAGTAGTACAAGGAAACAGCGATTACACCGGTATTATCGACAATGCCACGATGCTTACAGATCTCAGCTCTGGATTCGTAGTCGCAGGCTGCGATAGCGGACCTTCCCTATCAAGCAGCCAAAAAGACAAGCCAAACTGCTCTGTACCGTTTCTAAACGATATTGCGAAAGTCAAAGCCTGGATCTCCGATTCCATTGCGATGACTACAAACGTCACTCGCGACATTACTACTAGGTACTACGCTGAGCGCCCTGTATACAGCTATCTCCGGGGTTACTCGACTGGCGGTGCCTAGGCATATGCACTAGCGAAGTATCACCCTTTCCTATTTGACGGGATGTATGCCGGGTGTCCGGGAAATAGATGAAATCATTTGATGCTGGATTTTCTTTGGAATAAGATGCATACAAGTGGAAATGGGTTTATGAATCAGGATGCTCTGGATTTTATTGCTGATCGGACTATCGAGGCTTGTGATGAGATTGATGGTGTTAGGGAAGTATTGATTGAGAATTCGCTGAAGTGTGATTTTGATATCAAGATGTTGCAGTGCGAACCTGGTCAGACCGCTGTTAGCGTTGATAAGACTCGGTGTCTGACGCCTGTGCAGATCCAATCTGATTTATGTCGGCCCCAAGGATGCGCGTACAGGGATGGGGACCTACCCTGGGTTTGACATAGAATCAGAGGGTGGCTGGTTGGATCAGGAGGCGTCTTTGTATTCCTCTTACGCTGTTCCGATTCTCAAACAGCTTGCTCTAAGGACGAGGACTATAACGTCACAGTTTTCAACTGGGGATCTGATGTCGATCTCTTGGATCAGATTGCGTTGCCACTTATTGATGAGATCTCGCCTGACTTAACAGCGTTGAAGCAACGAGGGGGCAAGATGGTTATGCTTCAGGGCTGGGCAGATCAATACAACGCCGCGAGCAGGCTAGTCCCTGGTTGCCAAAACATACAGTGCTTCCAAAATACTTCGGTTCGGTCTCAATCAACCGTAGGACACAATAACGAATATAACAAGGAGAGAGCGAATTTGATAAAGCACCGAATAACAAGCCCATTCTCCAGGATTGGTGCTATGTAGAGGCAACAGATTTTCGCAAGACTGAAATGCTTACGGGGGTTCCAATTGGAGGAATATTGCCAACACATTCCCCGGACTTTCTGATCTAGTATCCATCTACGACAATACTGCGCAACTATCAATTTGAAAAATAATCTAGCATAGCTTGATAACCGATGGTCTTAATTACTAGCGGGCTGCCTGTCTCGCCCCCAGGAAGATTCGAGTTTTGTTGTTTGACCAGTTGACCTACTTTCACTACTATCTTCCAACCTAAATTGCCTACCTAGTCCAGACAGATTCGATCGATCTGATAATCATATCAGCGTATATATAGGACGCACATTTACATCAAATCAAGAAATTAGACCTATGTTGTCATCTCATCACGAGAATTTAGAAACAGAACTCGACTACTATATAGAACGGAATCCGCAGTTCTGACAATTGTGCTAAGGAGTGTCCCAGCGGTGGTACCCGTTGTCAGAAGCTCGGCGAAAGCTACTAAAGGATCTTTAGTACGGGGTGGCTCTTTACCTATTGAGCTGACGGATAGGTAAGGTGCTGACTTAAAACCAGCACTATACATGGCCCGACGGGGATAAGGAAAATGCCAGTTGCAGGATTACCACCTGTAGAAAGTGTCACACTATACGTTTTAGCGTATAGTTACAGAAGTTCCAAGGAGCTCAATACTTATATCTCCAAATATATTTGATAGGAAAAGATCATATGTGACTCTATATACGTATATTGCTTTTTTTTCCTTACGTCTACTACTAAGTGCAATACTTGGAATGTGGAGACCTGGCCTAGGTCCTCATATTGTTAGACATTCATAATCTAGACCAGCTGGTGATCCCTCTATCTAGGACTCCAGCAAACGAAGATATATTAATAATGTGACGAATGTCTGCAGCTTTGAATCATATGCTGGGCCGAAGCGCGCTCTATACCTTGGCCGAGGGTGTGATTTTCTTGAATACTTTGCCGTAGCGTCTTGGATAGCGACCAATTGGAAGTAATGAACTAGGGTATCAGCTGAAGCACCCGCATAAATTATTGAACCCCGCACCATGCACCGTGTATTAAAATGGCCCAGATATGAGCTGGTGACTTTCTCTGCTTCATCCCCGAGCTTTCGAGTTGGTACCACAGAAAACGTCTGCCGTACACGGTGTAAACCATGACTTCACAGTTGCTTTGGATCGGCATTCTCGCTGCTGCCAGCTACCTACTTGGCAGATCTATCTATCGGCTCTATTTTCACCCGCTAAGCAACTTTCCTGGGCCAAAACTGGCCGCCGTCACGCACCTTTATGAGTTCTATTTTGATGCAGTCAAGAGCGGAAAGTATCTCTGGGAAATTGGAAGGATGCACGAGAAATATGGTAGGTACTTGAGTCGGAAGACTGGTGAAATTAGACATGTCTAATGAGTGGAGATGATAGGCCCCATCGTGCGAATCAACCCTCGCGAGCTCCATATCAAAGATCCATACTTCTTTGACTCAATATACAACTCAAAAAGACAAGGGAAGGACCCATATATGGTCAGAGTGTTTACCGTTCCGCGGGCAACCGTTGCCACAATCGACCATGATCACCACCGTTTTCGCAGAGAATTGCTGAGCTCGTTCTTCTCGAAGCGCTCGGTGATGGGCTTAGAGTATATTATCCAGGACAAAGTAGACAAAGTAGCCGGCCGGCTCATGCGGGCTCACGAAAAGGGAGCAATTGTCTCCTTGGATGAATTATTTGCAGCCTTGACCGCGGACATAATTTCCCACTATACATACGGGGAGAGTATGGGCATTCTTGACTCAGAAGATCTTCAGAATGACCTTCGCGAGGCCGCTAACACAGCCGGAGAGCTTTGTCACTTCTCTCGATTTTCCTCCATAACACAGGTATTACTGGATAACGCTTCCTGGTTCATGGAGTTGATTGAGCCAACATCTAAAGGCTTGTTCGATGTAAGACGAATGTTAGAACATAAGTTCATGCTGGCCCAAAATACCGAGAACAGGAAAGATGCCGGTCCTACGAAAACGATCTTCGACACCCTCTGTGATAAGACCTTGCCGCCTGAGGAAAGAACCATTGAAAGAGTACGGGATGAAGCATTGCTTGTGCTTGGTGCGGGCACTGAGACAACCGGAAGGGTGTTGACGGTTGGTTCCTTTCACCTCTACCGAGACAGGTCGCGACTGCAGAAGCTGCGAGAAGAGTTAAAGCAGGTCATGCTGGAACCGACTAGCAAGATTCCTCTCGCTCGATTGGAGCAGTTACCTTATTTAGTACGTCTCGTCCAGCCTAACTCGATAGTACTGGTAGGTAGTATTTACAGCACAACGTCTTAGACCGCTGTTATAAATGAGTCCCTCCGCATGGCTCATAGCGTGACGATCCGCCTACCTCGTGTACCCACAACACCCCTTGCATATAAAGATTATACTATTCCTCCAGGGGTAACTCACCGGACATCCGTAATAGTGGTGTGTGATCTAACTTGAGTTACGCAGACACCTGTCAGCCAGTCAATATATTTTGTCCATACAGACCCTAGCGTCTTTCCTGATCCAGAAACATTCAATCCAGAGCGATGGATTGAAGCATCGAGCAATGGGGAACGGCTGACCAGATTTTTGGTCCCCTTCACAAAGGGCCCAAGGATTTGCTTGGGGATGAAGTAAGATCTCCAATGAAGTATTATTGTTTTATTATTCCTTCTAACCTCAACTTCACAGCCTAGCGTACTCTGAGCTGTACCTGATGTTTGCTGCTTTAGTTCGTCGGTTCGAACTAGAGATCAAAACAACTCCAGAAAGTATTCGTATCACTCGGGACATGGTAATCGGATTGCCAGAATCGGGTCCTTTTACTGTGCATGGTGTGGTCAATGATATAGTCCTTGGCTGAACATAACTGAATCGGCTGGAATAGGAGATATTTTTCAATACATAAATGCCATGTCCTTACACTGTCCTCTATATCTTCTGTTCTTTGGTCTGTAACGGCGTAATACCTCTACCTGCAAAGCCTCTTTCCAAAACAAAGTGAAAGTTCCGACTCCGCGTAAGCCCCAAACTTCGGTATAGGAGTATATCCTTCGCGTTGGTAAAATTTGATCGCTGCCTTTTGCAAAGTTCCCGTCTCGAGCACAATAGAATTCCATCCCTCTTTCCTTGCTTTGTTTTCCAAGGCTATTAAAATGGCCTTCGCAGCGGACCAGGGTTTCCCACGATATTCTTGATGAACGTACATCCGTTTAACCTCCACGTCGCCGGGAGCGGTGTTCCTTAGTGGGATCACACGAAGGCCTCCACAAGCAATCGGCAGGGGGGTTTTCGCACTAGCTCCTAATTGAGAATTGGGCTGGTCACATCGATAGAGATAAACCACTATAAAGACGGAAATATCGTCAGCGGAGGGTGGTGTGCCCGGCTCTGAATCAGGTCGACCGTAAATAGTCGCAATCTCCTCCCGTTGTAGCTGTCGGAGTTGCTCGCAATCCGGATGACACCATTCGCGTTCACGCACTTCAAGTCGGTATGACTGGGTATCTGGGCCAATGATCGCCATCTTGTTCCCTTTGTTTTCGGGGGTAGAAATTTCATGCGTGTACACAATGCATTTTTCAGAACTGAGATTAGGGAAGAGGGGACTCTCTGAATTGTTTGACTCACATCGCTTTTGCTTATCAGTCCAACTCCGCAATTCTGATTGGCTAGAGGAATACGAGGCTAAAATGAAACCTCCTCCATTCCTTTCTTGCTATAGCTTCAGAAGGGACTATACGAGACAAAAGTTATCATTATTTCAGAACAATGTCTGTTGCGTGGGTGTAGCCCTCCCATCATGTATCACTTAGGGTTGCAAACATGAAATCATGTGGCCTCACAGCCTCATCAATCGGCAGATGGTAACATGTTTCAGCAGGGTCGAGCACATCGGTACGCATACGTAACTACTCCAGTCGCTTCGACTTCCATTAAGCATTCTTTCCTCCTTTATCCACGCGCACAGCTTCCTCGTTGCGTGTGGCCCGCCCGGAGGATTTAAACTCATGATTTCCTGGTGTTCAATCCCAGCTCCCACCCACGGCAACAAAGCATCAAGAACATGGTATGTTCCTGGACCATAGCTTTATGCTGGATTGACCCCGCAATGCCCACCCCCAGGGACCATGAATAATCAGATGAAATCCGAGATGTAGTGTCCCTCCATAGTCAATTGTAACTGTTTCGGGTGGTCAATAGGCCAGAAATAGGTTTAGTTACAACCACGGTAGAGGCGTGAAAGGCAAGGGAAGCGGCCAGAACTGATTTGTTGTGGTACATTTTGGAGACGGTAGTGTTGGAGAAAGAGAACTTACAAAGATGTAAAGATGTAGTCAATAGACTTGAAAAGAATATCTAGTAGCTAGGACATTTCCAGCCATTACATATCTTTTCTACAGATCGCATTTCCCCTCTGAAAGTTTGAGCTAATAAGAACCACAGCCTGGCCACGACCTTGGATGTGAGTAAAACATCGCTGCTTCTGGTCACGATCCTTCTCACGTTCTCAGTCATGAGTTCATGGTTTCACAATAGAAATCATTGGTCGTCCAGTTTTACTCTTTGACGTCAGGACTAGACATATTGTGGAGTAAGAAGAATCTCCTATATCAAAGGCTTAAGATTATTGTAGGTTGAGAGCATTTTAGACTAATTCATGACGGGAACGCCATTTTGTAGAAGGAGTGAAGTGCGAGTCTATAAAAAAAAGCAGGACGATAAGTAACTGAAACTGCTGTCCTGGCCCCTTCCGAGGGACGACTTGCACCACTGTAGGGCATGCGACTGCCGGATGATTCCCCGGGAGGAACATGATATGACAACTCAGCCAGGGAACCCTAGATGTCTTTAGCTATCCACTTCAGTGCAGGGTGAGCAATGGGTGGTATAAAATCAGGTCCAATTTTATTAAAAAAAAAGTTCCTAGGAATTTCTGTGATATCCGTTGTGACCTTAATTTACCTCGTACGAGAGAAGTACGCACCGCAAAAGGGAAACAAAAAGAAAAGCCATATCTCGACTACTAGTACAACGACTCTTACTTTAAAATAATGCCTAGCGAGTCTATCGACAGGTTACCACAGCCGCTCATTAAAAATGGTTTTTGTACAACGTGGTGTGCGACAATACTTCCAATAATATGTGATTACCATCCCCATGACAGCTAGATAGATGGACCTTACACGTTCGAGAATAAAACTTATGTTGGTAAGGCACCAATCAGCCAGAGCGTTGAAAATACATCTAGGTGCTTGTACGATCTAATATACGTGTAGTTGGTACACTTTAGTTAATCGCCATTATCGGTCGTTTTAAAATTCTCGTTGCAACGCATCTGCGAATATAACAACTGCATTACCCTTGCCCTGCTTGTCCTTAGCGGCATCCCAGAAAAAGCCGCCACCGAGACCATGTGTCTTGACATATTTGCCTTTCTCTATAATCTCCTCCAAGCTGTCATATGAGACCATCTCCTTTTTGCTTGCATCGTAGCTCCACGATGCACCTGCTCTATCAGAGTACTCCTCTTTGGCACCGCTCTTTGGGAGGTCCTTATAAGATGGATTTTCACCAGGGATGCTCGTGTATGGTTTACCAGGACCATCGGTCCCATCGAAAATCACTCCGTACAAAGGGATTCCAAGTAAAACTTTAGTGACATCCACTCCCTTACCTTTATAATTCTGCACAACTCTGTCCACGCTGACGAATGTCGCGCCGCTCCCGGGATCATTGTGTAGGTTGGAGCAATGGCCAGCAGTTTTATTCCAACTGCCCGCGAAATTGTACGCCATTAAGTTGTAGAAATCCACCACGTCATGCATGCCGGAGAAGTCTAAATACTCATACCACTGTGCATCTGGTACGTATGAGCATACCCATTAGACTCGGGTTTATATTAAAGATATAATAGATAAGAGATACTGCCTGATAAGATTACGTACTGGGAGTAGTAGCGACGGTTATGATACCCTTTTGGCCAAGCTTCTACATGCCATTAGTTTTCCAACCTGAGAAAGGTAATTTTCAATAGCCCATACCTTGCGGCACTCCTTCAGGAGCAAAGTAAAGTTCTTACCGTCCTGTACTGCATGAGGCATTAGCGTTCCTTTCCACTTCCTTCACTCTACAGGCTTTTTCACAAACCGTTCATGGGGAATTCCCAGTCAACATCGATTCCTGGGATTCGTCAGTGAAGACCGAACACAGTATCGTCCTGGGAACTACAAACCATCGAATTTGTATTTTTGTGCCAGGTTTATCGCGGTTTGCGCAAAGGTCTGTCGCTTGTCCGTGTCTCCCGCGACGGCCGGGAAGTTCACTGAATACGCATCGCCCCCGATGGAGATGACAACCTTGAGCTGAGGGTACCTTTCCTTGAGCTCAGACAGTTCTCTGGCAGGTTTATCAAAATCTGGGTCAGGTGCTTCCCTAGAAAGCTGAGGTGTCAACCAGCCTCGCGGAAGGGGTTAGGTTTGTTAGATTGTATTACATACACTTCTCCATTCGGGCTAACTCTAGCAAAGGCGTAGAGGACCAGAGTCAATCTATCTGCACGTAGATTGCTAACAGGCCAGGTCCACTGGGACTATACACTAGTCAGCCATCGCGATGCTTGTGAAAGAGTTGTGCTGATGTCAAAAGGTGAGAACGGACCCAGCTCGCATAGTAAGTAGCAACTTCCTTTCCGGGGGGGCACGGTATCATATTTGAAAAGGTCTGGATTGATGTAATAGTCTCAAGACGTATATGTAGGGCAACGTGGATCCAGATGGATTAAGGGAGGAGCAACTATTGTCGCAGGAGGGCTATGTGTCAAATATGTCTTACGGAAACGTATCCCGTCGCTAGGCGGTTACGTCTGATTGGCTCTTCAAGCTTGTTGACGCGCTTATTGTTATCACAGCGAGTTACCGAAGATGCACCGTAACTGTTGTGCATAAACCCTCGGATTGTATATTTCGTGGCATGGACTGACGCTGGCTGACATTCGTATATGCGGTTACTATCGCTCAAGACAAACTTCTGAAGTTACGGTTGGATCACATTCTCTCGCTCGACTTTTTGTCGAAAGATTAGACAGGAACTACCAACAAGCAACTTTCCAGTTAAATTGTTCTCGTCGTTCAGCAAATAAAAGAAAGCATCTGCCTCTCAGCGACCGATGAAAGAGTGTAAAAATGCCTTCTGTACCTATGAGCCATTGTACCAGATCGAACTTTTCTCAATTTATCAACCTACAAATTGTGTACACGTAAATCAAGCTGAACGACACTATAGTCTAAAGTTATCTATATCAATTCTTAAGTTATCGTTCTTAAATAAGATAGATTGGTTTCTGTTTCATACTAATCTTAGCATATTTCTGCGCTTTTAAACATATGAAAGGGATTCTCTTTATATCCCTGAATCCCGAAGGAGGTTAAGGGGCGAATCAAATAGAGATTTTTCTCTCTCTCGAATCTCTAGCAATAGACCAGGGAATTATAGGACAAATAATTTGGATACATTTTCTGAGTATTTCCGAGCTATTTCTAGGTATTCTGAAGGTACGGTGTACCATACCTGATCACCTGACGCCCGATTTTCTATTAATATCAGAATTAGAAATGAAGCTCTACCACCGCATATATTGATTACTATCGTGAGATTTTTTTTTTGTGGTTTTCTGTTTAAACTATATGAAATATAAACAGACATTTTAATGGTCCCAAAAATGTGCAAGCAGGCGAATCTGCCTACCCCGACGATTTACACTATATGAGGCCTCTGCAACAACAACCTGGTCTAGATCACTAATATCCTTCCTATTTCTTGGAGTCGAAGGTATAGAGTCCCTATTCTTGCCTTTTCTGACCTGATTGATATCATTTTGAAGCTGTAGATTAGCTTCTTTAGTAAGATTTTGTCTTCCTTTTGGCGCTGCTTTTAGTCGTTTTCCTGCTGACGTATCTCCTTATTTAAAGCCCAATTTTTGACTCCGAATCTAGCCTTCTACTGCTATCCGCAAGTGTACTGGCTAGTGGCAAGATCTTGAAAATAACATTTTTGAATGGCAGCGTACACTTGATCTTAAAGGAGCCTATATCAGTGGTGATATTCTTATTGAAAAAGTACGTCAAATCTGGAGCTCTTTGCCACAGTATCGTGACCAACCTCCACCTTGATTTAGTAACGGAAGGCTACATTGATTCAAGCAGCGCTATAATATCAAGCAACATATACTACATGGTGAAGCAGGCTCAGTTCCAGAGGAAGCTGAAGAAGGAACGAAGGCATTACGTACAATTGCTGGAGAGTATAATGAGGAGGATATCTATAATATGGATGAGTCTGGCTTTTTTGGCGTATGGCTCCATCTCAAAACCTTACTTCTACAAATAAGCCTGGGATCATGAAGGATAAAACCCGGGTTTCAATACTATGCTGTGCCAACGCTTCTGGAACAGACCGATCACCTATCTGGTTTATTGGTAAAGCACGTACACCACGGGCTCTCTGCAATATCAATATCTCTGCAATTGGAGCTCAATGGCGATGGAATAAGAGGGCCTGGATGAACCAGGTTGTCATGCGAGAATGGCTACTAGCATTATATAGCCATGTTGGCCACGACCTGTACTCCTTACTATGGATATCCTTTCACCACATCTATCTGGGTTGGAATTAACAAGTTAACCCCACCACTACTAATATACGAAGCTGCTGGCTGCCAAAGAATCCTACCAGCCGGTATCAACCACTTGATCAAGGGCTTAATTCAGAATCTCAAGATATATTACCGAGGGCAGTGGTTAAAGTATATGCTATAGCACTATGAAAGAGACCTATATCTACTGGCTTTAGTGACGGTATTAGACTTATTTGCTGGCTTGTACGGTCCTGCAGTCATGATATTTTGAGCCCAACAATGCTCGCATGCTTTTATAAGAGCACACTGGCTCTTAATCCAGTACAACTCTCAGTTGAGATTCCTAATCTATTACGGCTTTATAATCAGGTACAGCATACTGGCTGTTCATCAAACTGTATAGATATCATCTTTTCTAAACCCCGTGGATGAATCTCTGGAGCTTTCTGGTAGTGAGGCAAAGCTATCATCCGAGGCTCTACTTGACCATCTAATTAGAGAAGCCTCGGATAATACTGTAAATATATATCCTGATGATGAGGATGATGCTCCAGAACCAGCACCTCTTCCAAAGCCATTGGATGCCTTAAACGCTGTACAGCTGTTGATTTCCTATATAGAGGGGCTAGATACATCCAAACGCCCCTTCTTCGGTCTCTAGAGCGTTTCGAGCGTGAGCTAGAAAGTGAAATTATTGCATCAAGAGTTCAGGGCGCCCTAGATAGCTGGCTTGCTTAGATATTAGAATTTCTTCATACAAGCGATATTCTCAGCTAGCCGATATTAAATGTAGGGATAACTTTGTATCGGCTAAACAGCAATTCGGGTTGATAGAACCAAGCTTATCCCAAAGAAGTAAAGGTCTACTACGCTATAGGACGATAAGATAAGCCAGTATCAAGTCATATTTCATTTAACTAATTATTCAAAACATTTCAAAAGTCTCAATCTACTCTGGGAGACCCTGTTTATCATGTCCGAACTGCTCCACCTTCTCAAGTGCTCGCCGTACCGTCTTGCAGATCTGGTCCACGTCCTCCAAACCAATACTCAGTCGAATAATGTGTTTGGGCACACCATACTTCTCCAGGTTATCTTTTTCCCGATACTGAGATAGCCAGGCAAATGGAATTGCGAGAGTAAAGTTTGTGCCTATGCTTGGTCCCTTGCAGACATCCAAGGCATCATAGAACACTACCGCACTGTCCGGACTATGGAAAATAACACTGAGAACGTTTCCGTAGCTGCCCCCCTTGCGACGATAACTCTCGTAGTAGTGCGCGGTGGGGCCCAAGGAGGGATAGTAGATGCAAGCAATACAAGGGTGGTCTTTGAGCAGATTCACCACGGGAAGGGTATTGGCGTTGTACGTATGAACTCGGGCTGCCAGGTCAACACAGTTGTGTTTCAATGTGGCTAGATCCAGAGGGAAATATCTATCTTCATATTGGGATGCGAGCATGTCTTTGAGTTGACCGTGGCGTGGGCTGCTAGGATTGAGAACTATACTAGAAGAACGTTAGAGCTGTCATCACATCTTGTAGTTCCCGTGGATTAAAACTTACCCCCCACCTGTGACGTTGGACACCCCACTGAACGCCTTGGTCAGGCTCAACGTGAGAATATCAACCAAGGGAAGGATGTCAATATTAATAAGATTACCTACGGTTGCATCACAAACCACAACAAAATTGTACTTTTGTGCCAGTGACCAAATGCGCCGGAGATTAAATGAAGCTAATTTGATATTATTTGGCAGCTCGCAAAATAGGGCCGTGATGTGCTGGCCGGCCAGCAATGCACCCTCAAGCTCATCGAGGTCTTGGTCTCTTCCCAGATGATAAGAGATTTTTTGCCCCCAAGGACTGCGGCGGAGGACATTAACAGTCTCGACATAAAGCCACCTTGATCATATCAGTAGGAGTTTCATAGAGACAAAATAGGGTCACGAGAAGGACATTAGGGACCATACCCGTACAGCACTACGTCTGACTTTGGTTTCAAAGACAAAAGAGCCCTATTGGCGGCTGAGATGGCAGCCATTCCGGTAGGATAAATGAAAATGTCATCCGTGGTCAGCGGGGCTGCTTGGAGCTGGTGAGGGCGGACGTGATGTGCAATGGATGACTTGACTTGAAACATATTAGACAAAGCAGACTCAAAACAGTTTGCTTCCCGCTGAAGCTCAGGCTGATCATGCTTGCGCGGTGCAGGAGTCCGCAGTATAGGATGCGTTGAGTCAGAGTCGAGATAATCGAACAGCTCCAAGCAAAATGCTGCATGTCGGGGTGAGATACCATCACCAAAGTCTCGCCAGAAGCCCATGGCAATATTGGAAAGATCACTAGGGTACACAACCGCCGAGAATCGGGCCCAGTAGGCATATTCACTGCCCAGGTTTAACCGGGGAGATGCGAAGAAGTGAGCACACTCAATGAAATCATTACCATCCATGGTAGCCTCAGTCAAAACCGCAGCGCAGTCCCTCGCAGCACGAGATGATGGAAACACCATGCATTTGACTGAGTCACTGAGCTTTAGCCTCGCTCGAATAGCCTCAAGGATCCCCTTGACCGGTTTGTTGATGTGGAATCTGCCATTATTTCCACCGGATGCTTTAGTTTCATAAATCGACCTACAGGCTAGACTGCTGCGTACCGTGGATAGCCACATTGGATCTTTTCCATCACCCAGCTCTCCTTGTTTGCTACCCCAAGAACAGATTCCCATGTTGGGAGAGAGTTGCTCACTGCCTGAGGATCGATGACAACATGGTCAGCGGATAATTGTGTCTTCGGGTTCAAGCGGTCTCACATATGGCAGCCAACGAGGGTATATATTCGGCTCCCCCAAAGGTAGAGCGCGAGGGACAGGAGGAACCGAATTTGCTGCTAGATGTTCCCCTTTAGAAATAGTTAAAAATTCACCCATAGTTAATCAGTATGAGCGCTGCCAGTTAATTCGCCAGTCAGCCAACAGAAGTTGGTCATCGCGTGAATACTTATAGTCTATTCCATAGTACATATGCTAAGCTCATCCAAGTGGGCCTACCTGCAAACAGCGGGTGCTGATTTCAAAGGTACCGCTGGTCGACAAATAGAGTGACTTATCGGTATAATAAGGGCATAAAGTTAGCCTATAATATCAAAGATTTTGCTTGGTACGTTATATCCGGAATGTTTGTAGGGAACCAGGCATGACTGCGTTGCTTTTACCACCTTGGAAGCCACAATACAATATCGCAATTATACACTCGATTTCTCCTTATGTAGAACCATTAGCAAAATTGTCATGGTCTAGAGATCTGTACGGAATTACCTAGTAATGTTACAGTATAGAGTCACATTGGCAAGATCCGTCACTGCTTTCCATGGTAAGGGTTGGGAAAAGTGGCACCCCTTGCTGTGGACCAGCAATACAGCGATGCTGTCATGGCTTCCGATACAATTACTATGGTTCTTATAGACTACTTGGTGGATGGAATGTACGTTGAAATGAGATGCACCGGGGTCATTTAGATAAAAAACTCGCGCAATGTGGATGTGCGCAGTATCTAAGCGCATCAATAAAGATGATTCTGACATTCTAGTATAGTCCGAGATAGGCCAGCAATTACCAGTAGAGTTGCATTAAGATTCCAGTCTTTCTACTTTAATGACAGCGGCTATGACTTTGATGAGTTGTTCATTGTTCTCAAGAGCGACACTTAGGCGAATATTATGCTGCGGCACGCCGTACTTTGGGGGCAGGGGGTTTCGCGGTCCCAGCAGTATATCAGCTGAGTATACGGAATGGCCACGATAGGGTTTATCCACAAGATTGTTCCCTTGCACACATTGAGCGTACAGGTGGTTGAGAGGCGAGTGATGGGGATAGCCTATGTGAACACTTCCCACCAGAGAAATAACCAATATACCAATATTTGTTCTCTTTTCGTCCGGGCGGAAAACTATTCTCTGGACAATACTCCCAAGTTTTCTCGTTAACCCTGGCCGCCAGGGTTCATGCATGTCTGCATTAAGACATTGGTCTTTTTGAACACCCCCACCTGCCATTGAGTGCATGGTAGCATTGGCACCATACTGTGACTTAGGGGTAGGTCTTTTGCAATACCGAGTCCTAGCTGAATAGTGGTGGCAGTAGTGGACGTCCGATTCCAGCTCTAGCGTACTTTGACTACACGTCACCATGTAAGTCTCTATGATTGCGCCTCGGGTGGTGAAACACCCTGCTGCCAATGCAATTCCTTGATACTACCCTGAAATGACTAGCGCAGGTTCCTATATCGGATATAATTCGGCCCCTGTGCTCTGCAGTCATTGGGCCGCTAATCTTATGGATTTTGAACTGATCGGCTCTAATCATACATGACGGTTTCGGTCGAATGTAACAGTGCGGTGAATTCTTCCCTTTTATGTACAAGGGACCGGGTTTGATCGACGGCCAGAATTAGCTACCGTTGGAATAAAGCCTCCGGATCTATTTTAGCCTGTGGGAGCCCCTTGTCAGTCTGCCCATGCTCCTTATTACGGAAAAGCTCAGTAATAGAATCATGGCTTGCTTCTTATAATGACATCGATCATTACTAAATGCGTGTATATACATTCAATACTTGGACTTTTCTCATTGACCTCTCTATCCTTTTAGTTCAGCGGAACTACTGGTGGAAGCTGTATGTTTCTTTATAATAGCCTGAGAATCTATATCCGTTCTACGCAGCTATATCTTATCCAGTGAGCGCCCCGTTAGTACCAATGCTATATATTCACGCGACGATAATCACCGTCGATGCAACTCGACGCATTATTGAGGATGGAGCCATCCTTGTCAAGAAGAATACGATTGCAGCTATCGACAAGACTGTCAGTTTGCTTGGGAGATACCCCCACGAAAAGCAGTATGATCTTGCTGGATGCATTGTGATCCCAGGGCTTATCTCTACCCATATTCATGTTATTCAAACACTGTTACGAGGCACGGCTGATAATCGCAACAAGGAGGCATGGCTGTCGGAACGGATCAAACTGCTGCAGAGAGGCATGACCCAGGCAGACGCCCGGGTATCAGCAAGTTTAACAATAGCGGAAATGTTGAAGTCTGGGACTACTTGCTTCCTGGAATGTCTGGTATGTTATCTGCTGGCTCCAGCTCCTGGAAGTGGTAGAATATTATATTTACCAACACATTTCACTAGTTCTTCCCTAGCCTTGGGTTCGACGGACTTTGCGAAACCGTGCAGGATAGCGGGATCCGAGCATGTTTGGCCCATACTTCGCTTCAGGGACTCAAGCCGGTCGGAGAGACGGATCTCGGCCATGAAATGCTGTCAGACGTCTTGATGTCGTGGAAGAAATGGAACGGAGCCGCGAATGATCGCATCCGAGTATGGTGGGCGGCCCACAATCCAGACTTGTAAGTGCAGACATATCTAGAATGGCCAGAGAAACTAAATTAATAACGAGTCCCAGTGTGAGCGAGTCCCAAATGCAACAGCAAAGTGCCGTGTCACATTCCAGTGGCATCCGAACGACTATCCACCTCGCCGAAAGCAGACAGGATGCCAAGTACCTCTCCTCTCAGGGCCACACGGCCGCTTCATATGCTCAGGCTGTCGGCCTGTTATCTCCATCCACGGTACTAGCTCATACCGTGTATGTGGATAAAACACGGGACATTCCTTTGATTGCTTCCGCCGGCGCTCATATCTCCCACTGTCCTACCTCAAACTCCAAGCTGGCTTCAGGCATTAGTCCTTTGCCAGACCTTTTATCGGCAGGGGTTAATGTCAGCCTTGGAACTGACGGGGCTGCATGCAATAATACATGTGACATGTTTCTAGAGATGAGGTTGGCAGCCATTGTTCATAATAGACCCGAGGACCCTGCACCAATCCGTGCCGAAACAGTGCTGGAGATGGCCACGATCAACGGAGCGAAAGCTTTGGGACTGGACAATATCACCGGCAGCCTGCAGGTGGGTAAAAGAGCAGATTTCGTGGCCATAAATACCCAGAAAGCCCCCTTACAACCCTGCATTGACCCGGTAAGCAATGTTGTTTATGCGACTACAGGGAGGGATGTTCATGTGGTGGTGGTCGATGGGCAGCTGGTGGTGGAACGCGGGGAGTTACTGTCGATGGATGAGGGGACAATCTTGAAAGCTGCGAAGCACGCAATCTATAAGTTACTACAGAGAACGGGTTTGCAGGAAGATTCGGGTCCTCTTTGGCCTGTGTATTAGTCAAAGGCTCTCCTGGCCTTTCAATGGAAGAAAAAACATGCCCAGTCGTGACAGAGTAAATCGCTTCAGCTTGGAGCACAATTCAGCCTATTTGGGAATGATGTGGAAGTAACTTGCAAGGATAACCTCAAGCTAAGAAATATATAAGGCTGCATAGCTGCCTAGAAGCTTCTACGTCCCTGGATGTCTTTCGGATTTCTGCTCGCTCAAGCTTTCCGCAACCATGCATTCCTCCCGTACTCTCCACCCCCGACAGTGTACATTCCTCCAACACCCTATGCGGAAAACTACATAATGGTACGGTAGGATTCAATTCGCCAATCAGTTCCACCTGCGGAATGTCACTAGTCCTCGCTATAGAATGCGCCAATAAATTTGGCATCTAGCCACTGGAATGACATTTCCCACCCACATTCTGACGCGTTCTGCTACCTACTTTAACCGGGCCTAGCGAGGGAAGAAAATACGAAGTACCTGTGATGGCACCCAGTGACATTTTGATTGGAAATAAGAAAATAAAAGTATCTCAGCATCTTGTGAATAAATTAAATCCAGTCTCTTGCCTGTGAACACAGCCTAGTATTTCCGCCGGTGGGGTGTTACTATTTACCATATACATAGTGTAGGCAGCGCAATGATAACAACTTCCGCTTTCAACAGTTTTTGGTGAACGGGAGAAGTTTGATTCAGCCTACGTTACGTCGCTTCTGGTTGATTACGTTAGATAAAAGTGCTGCTCAATGCTCAAATCGTCGAGTTCATTGCCCTAAACTCCAGTGCCGATGTTCAATCTTCTTCCAACATACTTATCACCAGCTAACCCTGGAATGCTACACCAGAATCAACCCATGAGTTCGACAGAAATCCGCGCGTGCGCCAAAGGGCTCCCCAATGACCCGGTATTCACAAATCTCGTCTACCGTGCCACGAGCGCAAACAAGGTCATAATTCGCGATCCCCTCCAGAACATCGAGGCCGACTATGCCCAGTTTCTCCGAGACATCATCCACGTCCGTCTGGAGATATCTGGTATCTTACCCCCGGAGATTTTGGACGACCACGGTATGATTAAAAATGACGACGTGTATATCCTACTCTTAGCTCCATCGAGCTACCAGTACCTTGTGGCACTTTTCGCCATACTGGCTATTGGCGGGGCGGCTGTTTTATTGCGTAAGTGCGCTACCTGGCGGTAGTTTGGGAAGTCTGGCTCTAACCCTCATGGAATGGAACCAAAGCGCCTGATATTCTCCCGGAAGAAATCGCAACCCTAGCCTCTAAATGCAACCCACGCGCAGTTGCGTTTACACCGGAACATCAAGTGCTCGCCAAAGAGCTCCGTCACCACGCAAAGGAAATGTTCGGCCTGGAGATTCTTCCCATCCCCGTGACGTTGGGAGAAGGTGGCAATAACGATAGCTTCAACCGTATGACAGTCGAAAGCAGCACCCGTTTCCCTGCCGAGCGCCCTGCACTGGTCCAATTCACGTCTGGTTCAACTGGTTCTCCAAAGGGTGTTGTCCACCCCCGGAAATTCTTCTACCACCTGGTTGAAGTCTACTTCGGCTGCCCAATGAATGAGGCCAATGGTCTGCAACATATCCTAGGTCCTGATGCAGTCTATCTCTCTTACCGAGCGTTCCATTGGGGGGGCGGTATCAGAAACGCAATGGCGGCGATTTTGGCTGGCGTTTGCACCGAGATCTATAACCATGATGCTACTGCGTTGGGGGTCTGGGAACGACTAAAAAGGGGGGACGTCAGATTTTTCATTGGCTGGGCTTCGATGTGGACGTGGATGAAGCGGGTTTATGAGAATGACCTTGCTGTCCTACCACAGGCAGAGGTAGAGGAGTACTTAAATGGTGCCAGGGGGCTGCGGTTGGCAAAGTCGGATTCGAACCTGCTCATGCCTTCCGTACAGAGGTTCTGGAGTAACCTAGGTGTGTCCATTGGAGTTAATTATGCGGCTACAGAGACGAGTATCAGTATTGGAAAATCCTGTCTATCTGATGACGGGTCCGATGACGTAGGGTGGTTTACTTTGAAAGCCATGTAGATCTGTTGCTAACTATGTGGCATAGAGAAGTATAGGAGTTCCCCTGAACGGAGTGTCCATCAAGCTCTCAGAAGGGGACCATGGCGAGATTCGTGTGAAAACACCGCTTATATTTTCTCAGTAAGTCTGCACCGCTCCCACTGGCACTGGATCTAATTTAATCCTACTGCTAGATACATCGGGGAACCCGAGGCAACACTCGACGTGTTCGACGAGGAAGGCTATTACAAGTCTGGTGACCTAGGACGTTTTGACGGCAAGCAGTATATCATCGATGGCCGCGTATCACAAGACTGTACGTATACATCTGAGTGTATTGTAATCTCGGCATCACATGGCTAATCCAATGCCAGTTATCGTTCTCACAAAGCTCAGAGTTCCCAGAGTGGATGTTGAAACAAGCCTCATGGCTCTACCCAATGTCACTGAAGCCTACGTGATTGGTGTCCCGGATTCAGCAACTGTAAATCGCGTCGCCGCACTAATCCGTGTCAAAGAAGGGAAATCTCTTACCCTCGGAACCCTGAGAGCGGAGCTGGCGGCGGTACTCGCGGAACATAAGCTGCCGAGTCTTCTCCGGCAGTTAGATGTCGAAACGGATGTGCCAAAAACGCATTCGGGGAAATTTGATATGAAAAAGGCCCGTAGCATGTTTTTCCCCCAGTTAGTGGAGGGAGATAACGGGAGCCTTCCGTGTGAGGTGGAAGTGTGGGATTTTAACTAAATCACAATATCTGAAGTTTAAAGACAACAAATCTAATTTTTGCCTTTACTGCTTATTTTTTGGTCGTTGTATTGATTGCATCAGTTCTCTGGTAGACTATTGATTCAAGTTGCCTTTGAGCTCTATAATAGCGAACCTATATATGCTACTTTGCCCTGCGATAGCAGTCCCCTAGTGACTATATCTCTACCAATACTCCAGGTTGTCCTTACCAGACTAGTGGTTGTACATGTAAAGAATGTTTACTATATAGCTTTATTAAAGTGGGTAAGAACCTCTGGTCCTCACAGAGGCGGCATTCTGGGGTTATCTCTCCCTGCCTACATGGTGGCAATCCTGCCTCGACGAGGGCCCTGCGCAAGGCCCGTCTCTGGTGGCGCCATTGCCTACATTCAACTAGTAGGTAGCCTGTTATTCCTTGTGGAGCCTGGCAGCTCTAACATCTAGGCGAATCTTGGACCCCTATCTGACTACGGTAGGTCGGTATTACTGCATGCCCAACCTTGAGCTGATAGTATCGACGAGCAAGCTGTCTTGGTGCTTCTCCCGCTACCAGATCTAGTTTCCATCCTTTCTGGGGTTAATAGCGCTGTTGGGCCCTGTAGGATCGTTCTCCAAAGCCTGTAAAAGCCATCGTTGTCTCTAGGCCTGGTTTGCCTCAGTGAATGTTCTGCGTAGATACGCTAGACTAAGGCCCCTATCTATGTCTCTGGGGGCCTTTTCTGCAGCTATCTTAGTAGCTCCATCAGCCTTCTTATTCCCTATATACCTTGATGGCCTGGGACCATTGGATAGTGGTTTGACATCCTTGATTCTCAAGCCTTCGAACTGTATCTTGGGCCTGAATTGTCCAGCCTTGCCCTGGGCCAGACCTATTGTCTTATAACCGAGCTATGGCTTCCTGGGAGTCTAATAGTACTCCGATAGGGCCTTTATATCCTAGCTGCTCAGTTATTTCAAGTGCTTTTCAAGCACCTGCTAACTCTGCATCACAAGCCTCTTTCCCTAGTCCTAGCGGCACCCGCTTAATCTTGTAGGAGCCCTAGAAAACTAATATATATGGTCGAGCGAGAAGTGTCCATACTTTAGAGGGGCATATATATCTACTGCGCAAAGTTAACTTCTATTTAATTGATTACAGAAAGTACTGAGAAATAGATCGATGGCTTGAGTAACGTTGTATAGGAGACCCTTACGTCAAAATAACAAGCATTTAGCCGGTTGCAGTATATGGATCGCTGGGATTGTAAAATATTAAAAGGTATCTCTGGTGACGCAACTGTCGTTCAGACGATTATAGTAAGTAATGAGCAATAGGTTGTGTAAGATTAAGTGATATCATAGGCAACGGCCATAAGTTCACGAAAAGAAGGAGTTTATAAATCGGGCATTGCAGGCGCACAGGGACAATCAGCTGCTTTTATTTTTTAAGGGATCTTTAATAGCAGTAGTATATAGCCAGTACGATCTAAATCGATGTGAACTAGTCTCACTTATTATAGAGCCTGAATAAGTATACCTTCGGCGAGTTCAGGCTAAGCCAGTTTAGTGTTATATCCCACGTTAATAACGTTTGTTTTCTATATACTCCAGGGCCCCTTCTACAGTATTTGCAAATGTGCACTCCGGAAACCACTTACCGCCGAGTAACCAAGCTGCACTAGGTGCAAAAGTGATCTGGGTTCACTAGGGTTCTCGTATATCTGAGATGCTAAAAGCCCTGAAATATGTCGTTTCACATATAGTCGTTAGTTTGTTGGCTGTCTCGATATAAGTTTTTCCCCATATAATGTAAGTTTTTTCTCTGTCTTCATGCGAATACAGAGACAGTTATGACTAAACCAATGTAATTGAACCGTGTTGCTACTTTATGCTCTTTTCAACTAGTCTATGGGCTTATACATATACTCTTTTATACTACTCAAGAGTACTAGCACCGCTAGGGCTTTTTTCATATATGGATTAGCTTTGGAGTATCTGCAAAGTTTGGTTTATTATTATGACGCAACACTTGCTGACTTGGTACACAATTCTGACGGATGGCAAGTAACTTGAGGTCAACACCAAATACTGAAACGTTGGGGTATGTGCATCATTAATTTGAAAGCCGATAAGGTTGGAGTCCACAAGAGGCGTCGTACAGAGGCTTAATTCCCGCTATAGTTACTGCCCGAGTAGGCAGTCCCTTCGATTTTATATAAAAGCTTAATATAATTCTAGATGCCTCGAAATTACCTAAACAATTTAACCAATAATAATTTGATAACGATGAAAGTTGTCTTTGCTATGGTTCAGCAGGTGCTGTAGGACCGCAGCGATATTATCCCGTACAATTCTCGGAACAGTTCGCCTACGCTAATCAAGCAGGTTCAGCTCCTGATTTCACTTTTTCGACCAATGTACAGGTGGCCATCCTGGGACATCTTCAAACCACCGAGCCTTGTACATTACGCCACCAGCAGGAATGGTTCTGTAGTTGTGGGAAATGAGTACGTTAATCGTTTCGCTCCAGAAGTCCTTCACTTAGATGGCTTGTTTGTATACAACATACCCTTCCTAATATATAGAGACACTTTCTAAGTCAGAACGAGGAAGCGCTCCTACCCCCACCGGTGATGTTTATTCCGGTGCGATTCCCAAGTGGAACGAATCCTTGTAAGCATTTTGTTACAACCGCATCCCCAGCTTAGAACGTCTCTATAGCGAAGTCGAACTCATGCACATCGAGCTCCGTTGAGAGAAGGAACTTTCGTTTGTAAGATGCAAGGGCTATATCGTGAGGCCCATCCGAGTATTTCCCATTTGAACTGTTTTTCCCCCACTCCGTGTAACACTGGGAGGTTGTTGGCATTTGGTGACTGTGCACTGGTTCCTCCTCGAGGATATGCTTAACTAGGTCGTATCGATAGCCTTGGAGAGCCCATATGCCGGGCATTCACCATCTGCGGCCTTATCAGTTCCGGCCACCCACAAAACCCCTTCCTTCTCATCCTAGATCATAGCATGGATGGCTGGATGGCGGGTTATTTTCTACAATGGAGTAGGACTCATGGACGGGTGAACACCGTGTGCTGCATTGAACAACCGGATTCCATCCTCAGACCCCTGGCCTGTGGTAGCAATTGCAAGTCGATTGTTTGGAAGAACTTCAAGAGTATGGGAAGGTCTTAGCATTCTTGTGTTAGTACAAACACCGCACAACACCTTCTTGTCATGTTCCAAATTCTCCGGAGTATGGTGGACAACAATGGCTGCCCCTCCGATCAATGCAGCGATCTTCGACCCATCACCAGCCCATTTCATTTCAGTGGCGGCTCCTCTGTCATTAACACAGTTCACGAGCCACGATGGGATATCTGTTTGGCGGCTAATATCTGTCGCACTGAAGCTCCATTTATGTCGCTCTGGGCGTTGAGAATATGTATTGTGGGACTTTCCCCATAGATACCCTTGATTAAGTCTTTGGAAGCTAGTAGAGGGGATTGTATGTTGCTAAAGAAAGTTTCAACCATACTACTGCACAACAGGGCTCTATAGAGCTGGCAGATGCTCCAAAAGGCCATGTTAATTGCTGGTTGGATATAACAGATTCGTTGTATCTTGGTAACAAAAAGTATTGTTCAAGTAGCTAAATATCATAAGCAATAGATGGAGACAGCATCTGATGTCTTAATCATAGGCCACATATCCTGTAGCTTTAAATAACAACGCCAGTCCTGTGGCTCTTCTCTACCACTGAGTATAGTGAAGACCTGGTATTGAAACGTGCGTATACCTCAACTCGTGAAGTGGCAAACACGAGCCATAAATCACTCGTCCTCTACAATTTAAGCTTAGCCTAGACATGCCTAGGCCCATGAATTAAAGCCTAGAACAAGAATTACTATGCAATTATCCAGTTTGCCTTTTACAGAGTTTATGCCCGCAGCCTGTTTGAGCTTGCATCATGAACGACTACACGGGCCACAAAATGTTTCAACGTAACGCTACATTAGTAAAACTAGTCACTAACAGGTGAGAGCATCTGACTACGGGGCGCGAGTCTTCAAGCAATTTTAATATTTTTCTGTCGTAAGTCAATCAATCTTCGCATACACTACACGAGTACTTTGCTTGATTGGTATTATATGCAGTGCGTACATGTGATGGGATGCAACATCATTGCAGGCAGATCTACGTCAGTAACGACATCTTACATTAAGACTCCATCGGTGTATTTCTCAAATCTCTGCGCTAGACTATGACACATGGTTTCTAGCTTTCCGTAGTCAACACCGTTCTAAGAAACGGCGGTTGGATAGAGTGCGGACAGTGTCTGGGTGATGGATATAGACAAAAAAAGAATATATTCCCTTATCTCAAACTACTTTTCCAGTTAATTGTAAAGTACAAAGACTAGAGATTTGTTTACACGAACTGTCTATATCAACTCTATTACCCTATAGCTAACGACGGAATAGCTCACCTGTTAAAGATTATGGAAGCTCTTAATGAGGAATCCAAAAACAAAGATAAAACAATGGCATAGAATACCCGAATTAAGTTTTCAGGCAGGCATTGGTATGCCTAAATTGATATCAATGGGAATATCATGATATCACCTATAATGATCTGAGGAGCTGCGTGATGGCCGAATGCGGTAAAATGCCACTCCCACAACAGCAGATTAAAGCTATTTATTATATGCTACAATAAACGTCGGTCGCTTCAGCCATGCTACAGGTTACCACAAAACGGTGTCACACCACCTCAATAGTTTTCCCCGAAAGCCAAATGCCAAGAAGCGATAGCCCCGTATTTTGGTGGATCTCTGGATTTCTTGAGATCTACTGGGGATCAAAACCAGGATGAGCTCATCCTAACCACTTAAAGTCCAGGAAAGCTTGGCACCAGGGCTTGGGAAGCGACGAAAATGTGCGAGACGGCGACACTGTATAAAATTAGTCAATTAAAGTGTATATAAGGTCGATATATAGACAGTACACAAAAATCGGCATAGCTCCAGATATGATGCACCAACGCATATATGGACCCACTCGCCGCATTCTGCAAATCTAAAGATTTGCAGCAGAAATCTACACGGGTCACAGCGTCATGTCGTTGGAAAGAATATCTTGAGGGGCTATTACGCCGGGTTCTTGGGATCAGTTAATTAGCGCATCCCATGACCCCAGCGTATGATCCTGGCTTTATAGTATTAGGATCGGGAATAAAATAAAATTAGTATTATCAATTTCTCAACCCATAATATATTCGGTATTATCCTGATCTATAGTCCGGTACTTGAAAAATATAGGCGCTTGGCGAGGTAAATAATTAAGTATATTAAAGTAGCGCAGGGCCTTCTTTACATAGACTCTTTAATAAAGTAATACCCTATATTATTAGATATCTCATTACATAGGTGTAATTTAACTGGGTTAGATTACAACCATGGGTAAATCACCCACGGGTGATATATGGGTAACTAGGAGCTCATATGAATCCGACGCGTTGGCTTGGGTTTGGCCAATATAAATGATAGAGAGGACAGGAAAAAATAAAAAATGTAAAACGAAACATAGCGTTGTGGAAATGTATTTTAGGTATGGTGGATAAGAAAAGAGTAACAGGGGGCCATGTCATTCGCCCGTCCGTCCAGGGACTAATAATAAGTCGGCGGTTATAGCAATCGCATATTCTGTGCAATAAGTGGTATAAAATGGGTTTCCAGTCACTGCTATCATTATCGTCAACTTCCTAAAGTGTCGAAACCTATGGGGACCAACAGGGTGGACATTTCAAGGTGGTGCGTCGCAAAATGAACCATGGGAAATCTTAGCGTAGGAAAACCGACATCTAAATATAATTTACATAGCAATCCCGATGTTCAAGGTACTCATAACGAAAGTTCTCTGAAAAGAGTTGTTTAAGGTTGAGATATCTGGCTGACCTAACATAAGTCTAGTGGTTAGATGCTCCAGAACCCAGCGCTGAGATCCGTACCAAGAACATCAATACACTTGCGCAGGTACATAAGGAGCCACTAATTGATGTGGGCCGTCACTGACAGGAATAAAGCCAAGAAGCCTAGGCGATGGGCAGAATCGCCCAAATCAATCAGCGAATGTGAGATTGACTCCAACGCGTCTGCATATCGCAGTCGGTGGCAACCTGGACAATGGCTATAGTTCCGCGTCCGCCAGAATGGAAAATGTTGCAGCACCGCTCTGTTAGGGACTTGAATGTGTTGATCTTTAGATCCTCGATCCTGATGGTCTAATCTAGTGACCTGTTTCGAGGCTCCAGAGGCCCAGCGCGTTAAAGCTGACTTCAACATCATACTTCTTGGACGTCCATTGGCTTTGTCCTCTAGATCTTGGTTCTTGCATTAACAACCCTTTCTCTGTACATGAGCTATCTCCTCAGGCGCTCAATATAACCACAAATACCATCATCCCGCCAGGCTACTCTACCTATTCTTCAGGACCAACGCCGTGCAGAGAAAATTAGCGTTACATCTCACCTTTGAGGAAAAAGAATGCACTTTACTTCAGTCTCACTACCCTAGGACCTAAGGGGAGCACAAAGATTGGCTTTTGAAAAGGAAAGTGGCATTTTTGTTCACTTTTAGTGACCAAAGGGGTGTAGCATTAGTAGGGTTACATTAATACATTTGACAATGGCAGTCGATTCGATACTGTTGTTTTGAGTGTCGTATTAGATTGTGCTACATGAACCTGTCACGGCTGTGTTATATAGCTACAGGTGTAACCCTAATGCAGAAGTGGTGCGGTCAGGATGACAGAACAGAACAGCCTCAATACAGGAGCTCCACAGACACCACTAGCAGGGGCTGTTGATAGAGTAACTAAATACGGATTAGGGCGGTCTAGGATACTGTCTCGGAAACATTTCGTGAGCTGGCGAAGTGGCATACATTTTCGAATCTCTCTGTATTACTCATAATGAATGATCTAGGATGCCCATGTCGATCCTCATTTGCTGTCCCAGCAGCGTCCCACAGAAAGAGTCGACCAGGCCGCGGCTCTAGTAGCGCCCTAATTCAGCATCCACCCCCGGAGAGGGACTATTCCAGAAGACGCAAAGTGGAAACTACACAAAAGGGCGTCTTGGACTATCAGGCCTGTTGTTCAGGGGAAAGAAAGGCTGCTACCATGGCTACCAAGCGAGGAAAGAATCTGGAACGCTGGAGGACCGAAAACTCCCGAGAATGCCGGGAACGAGGGAAAGAATGCACGGTTCAAATGTTACATGCCCTCAAGGATCGCAAAACTGGTTCAACTGAGACAGAATCGTAACCTTGTCACATGTAAGAACGAACGGGTTAGCATGAAATGCAGGGGTCGAGCAGGGACCAGAAATTGCTGCGTCGTCGGGTCAGTGCGTAAGCCGATATATGGGATCGTCCGGATTCGGCCCGGCAGCTGGTGGGCCGCAGCGCCAATCATAACGGGCGGCGATGGGGCAGAGTTTGCTCTTAGGCTTTAGTGCCGCTTTACTCGCTGCCTGAAATCCCATTGGTGGACCGGACAAAGCATTGTACAACTTGTCCACAAGTGAAACGGCATCTAGGGCTGTTGAAATGGCCACTAGTCATCGCGCTGTAAAACTATGGCACCCCCAAATCCATGGCTCTAATGGGGAGCAACATAGCGCAATACAACAAGAGATATACTCAACACTATGAGCCTTGCAATTCTCTATATTATCCGCGGCTGATGTAGTTCCTCAATGTTCTACGCTCTTTCCTTTGAACGACATACGCAATGAAGCAAGAGCTGCGAGAGACATGGACCCCCGGCATCAATGTCTTAACATGGTTCATGCTGATTACAGCTATATTGAGTGTTTCCACTAGGCTGGGAACCAAGTATTGGATCTTTCGGAAGTTGACGGTCGACGATGCCCTCAGTATCGGGGCACTGGTCACCTGCATTGCGCAGTCAATTGCCATCTCAATAGCTACTCAGGGTGGTCTGGGACAGCATCGGAATACCTTGCCAGCCGCTAGTATAGAGAAGATGATGAAGGCAAGTCGTGCCCTTACCGTCCCGTACTGCGTTTGACGCTTGGGTCGGATGATGCTAATGCAAAAGTGTTTCGACCAGTCTCAATATGCAGCGAATATCCTCTTTATCGCCACTATGTGTTGCTCGAAACTCGCCCTCGTGATGTTCATTCGCAATCTGACTCCCACCACCCTAGACCGTCGCTTTGCTCTTGGACTTGGGGCCTTCATCGTCCTATGGACAATTACGGGTATATTTACAGCGGCCTTCCAATGCCGGATGCCAGATACCTGGAATTACTTGCAGGCGAAATGCTTCGACTTGGTATGTGCTGTGGTAAAACGCTCGGTCGAGAAAGATCACTTACAGATTACTAGATCGCTTGGTGGAACTACCTTGGGACCACCAATATTCTATCAGAGGCCGGGATCATTGCCCAGGCGTTGTTAGTGATTGTCCGGGTGCAAGCAGATGTCCACAAAAAGGCCGTCCTAGCCAGTGTGTTCTTATTTCGAGTTGTGTATGTCGCTTTCGCTTTTCCCTTGACTCTCTCACTATGCTAACAAACAGCTCACCTTAAGCGTCGTTGTTGCTATTATTTGTCAACTAGCCTATGCCAGGGTCGCGAAGGGATCAACCGACTCATCTTGGGACGCATGGGCAGTCGTCGTTTCTACGCAAATAACCCAGACACTTAGTATCGTCACGGCTTGTTCGCCCCAATTCAAGCCTTTCCTCGATAGTCTCCGATCATCCGGAATGAGCCTAGGGGGAACAAACTATGGCAGTCGACAGAGAACTTATGCTATGACGTCTTACAAGGCGTCTCTTGGTGGTCGCACTGGAGATACACCGAGTGAGGCCCATGAGCTAGTCACGATGCCGGAGGGAGGTGTCAATCGGACTATCGTCAGCTACTCTCCAGATTGCGACGCGGAGAGCCTGTCGAGTCAGTCACATATTATTCTCGAGACCCGGACATGGATAGTGACTGAGACCCGGCATGAGTAATCGAGGGGTTCCTTTCCATTCAAGTCTACTATGACTGTACGTAATAGGGCGGGCGAGAATAATGGAGGGGTTGACGATGTGACTAAAAAATAGGGCATCCAGACATTTGATTCGGTACAAAAACGGTTAAGCGAAATAAATGGCGGGAGAACAGTATATTAAATGAAGAATACGACCTACTTAGCAAGGTAAAGCGGTCTATTGACCGTCACGAAACCCTGCGATTGAAAATTTTACTATCTCGCGAACTTGACGGAGGGTGGAGCTAGTGAACCTAGTGGTGTAACATCGGAAACGGCACCCACCACGGAGCGACATGAAAGTTTAGAGTCTTAGGTGGAGATACTGGTAATCCATTGCATTAGTAGATGTGGATAGCTGACATAAAATGCCCCAACCATGGCATTGTTCTGAAGCTGGCTGGCTGGCTGGTCTATTCGCCTCTGCCACCGCTGAGACAAAACTAGCATAACCGCCCTTCTTGGTCCCCTTCGACAGGCGTTTTTGCCTCTCAGCATTTTCTCCCTGCTCATAATGTCTTCTCATCAATTGAAGCAAATGAGTACGACCGGCATGCAGGAGATTGGTTGTCCATTGAGCAAGGAGCTCGACGACGCTAACCTCGCACGCATGGGGAAGAGGCCGGTTCTGAAGGTGGGACAAAAAATTCCTGGCTGTACATACCTGGGATAACTGAATCGCTAACTGAAAATAGCGAAACTTTGGGTTAATGTCCATGCTAGGTTTCAGCTGTACCATCTTGATTACCTGGGAAGGAATTGTGGTGTGAGTGACCATGGCAACCATGAAGTTTTGCTTGTTCTTCGCTGATAAACTAACTACTCGATCGATAGGTTATTTTTGCAGGCATACCAGAAGTATGAAGCTCTTACACTTCCATCAATTTGGCGTATGGTTAACGGCGATTATATCACAGCGGCGGTCCGGCAGGCGCGGTATATGGATTTATCTTCGTCTGGGTCGGTGTCGCGTCGACCTTTGTGGTTCTGTCGGAATTGGCATCAATGTACAACTTCCAAACCTTTGCCCGGTAGAGCTTGTCTGACAGCTTAATAGGGCACCAACCTCCGGAGGTCAATATCATTGGTGTGCAATGCTTGCCCCACGATCTAAGATGAAGCTCTTTAGCTACTTGACAGGTATGCGATTGATTTGTGTCAGTAGTATAAACCCATAAACTCACACACGACAATAGGCTGGCTCACGGTCATCGGATGGCAAGCAACATACGCAACCTCATGCTATCTGTGCGGCACTCTTATCCAGGGCCTCATAGTTCTTACGCAAAGCAGCTACCAACCACAAAACTGGCATGGGACCCTCCTTTTTTGGGCTATCGCTTTGTTTTCGGTCGGGATCAACAGTGTCGGGGGAAAGCTGCTGCCTCGCTTCGAAGGGTTCATTCTTATCTTGCACATTCTGGGTTTCTTTGCCATCCTAATTCCCCTGACGTACATGGCCGACCATGGATCTGCGGAGGAAGTTTTCACACAGTTCTTGAACCTTGGCGGGTTTCCTTCTCAGGGTTTATCATTCTTTGTTGGCATGGTCGGTTGCATTTTCGCATTTGCTGGAGGTGACGCTGCGGTCCACGTAAGTAAAATCCACACTTTGCCAGAGACTTATTCAATAACACAGATGTTGTGGCCGTCCTCTAGATGTCCGAAGAAATTACAAATGCATCGACTGCTGTTCCCACCTCAATCATGCTCAGCGTTTTGATCAACGGTTCCCTGGGCTTTGGCATGCTGCTTTCTATTCTGTTTTGCTTGGGTGATGTTGAAAAGGCCCTCGACTCATCCACAGGTTACCCATTTATGTCCATCTTTCTGCAAGCCACTGGCTCAGTTCCTGGAACTGCTGCTATGTGCTCCATTGTTACTACTATGGGCATCACCACCTCTGTCGGCATGCTAGCCTCTGCCTCACGCCAGTTCTGGTCTTTTGCACGCGATCGCGGCGTGCCGGGTTGGCAAGTCTGGAGTCAGGTATGTAGTCGAGCCCACCGAGTCTACTAGAGCAATACTCACAGTTGAAAATTTCAGGTTCATGGTAGTACCGCAGTTCCAATTTACTCTGTACTTTTGACGACCTGTGTCGTCTGCCTCCTTGCTCTCATCAACATCGGTTCTTCTGTTGCCTTTAACGATCTTGTCGCCATGTCAATTTCTGGTCTTTATTTATCCTATATGGTGGTTGCCGGTCTCCTGCTTTACCGCCGCTGCACAGGTGGTATCAGCAATGGCAGAAGAAGCGACACTGCCGTCGTGAATACCGTTGGTGCCAAGCTTGTCTGGGGTCCTTTCCATCTGCCGGGCATCTGGGGTATTTTGGTAAACAGCTTTGCTCTTATTTACATGACTATTGCTGTCTTCTTCAGCTTCTGGCCTCCTTCTTGGGTTGTCACTGTGCAAACGATGAACTTCAGCGTTGTGGGCACCTTCGGCGTCATTCTCCTCAGCCTCATTTATTACGTTTTCCGGGCGAAGAGTGTGTATGACGGCCCGATCGTGGAAATTGACTAACGTATCCGGAGGAAGTGGCTTATGGGGGAAGTATCCCGAGACTCTATAGATGTGGCAATTATTATATTATAGTTAGATACTATCTGAACGCCCATCCTAGGTGCCATTTGAAGTGAGTTACATAAAGGGTAGTGTGGAAGGCGAAGATAGGATTCTTCCAATGCTACGGGAACATGCGATACTATTCTCACCACAATTAACTTTTGCGCCATGTTTACGGAAACGCATATAGACGATCGTCCCAGCATTTAATGCAACAAGCCGGTGGGATATGAAACGGGCCAAAGGAGGCATGCGCATGAAAAGCACCGACTGAAACCTAGATATTTGATCCCGTTCAGGTTTCAGTGTAAGACTGAAAGCGCACAGCCCGCCACAGAATGGCTAGAAGTTCTGGGCAACAACATTAAGCTCGCCCGACCCCGACACGGGGTGGTAGTGCGCAGAACCCCGACAGAAATGAGAAAGTTAGGGGTGATGGTAGGACAACCCTGGTTGACGTTAAGAGAGAGGGAGGATTCTATTAGACAGATTCCTACCCAAGAAGGCAGCCTAGCTATTGTCCTTTCCTAGTAATTGATGCATTCGTATTGGAGGCAAAACACTTGGAATCATGTAGCACTAACGCTATGCAAGCGGCTAAGGCTAGTGAAATAGGAATGTTGCCGACGTATAAGTTTGCGTTTCTCATGGTAGTGGAACTCGTACCGCATCATCTGATGTCTTCCTATGCTTGAAGAAGCTGAAAGTCATCCAGGAATTGTACATACATTCCAGGAGGCGATCCTAGCTCAGCGTAGCATGGCGTGTTAACCTTTGGCCCTTGCAAAAATCGATTCATACTTTTAGCGGTAGTATGCGCGTTTTCAGTGGCCAATGAACCCAATTTGCTGGTATGCCTTGTTCCACTTTGTGCCGGGCTTAGCCACTACCTGCTGTTCCATAGTTGGCTATGTAGGAGAAAAGACTACATATTATGTGTCAGGAAAGAACCATAGAGCCTTTCAAATTTTAAATATCTTCAGGAAGATATGAGCAGAGAGGTTGTCTAGTCAACCTGCCATATTGATAAATAAACACTAAATAATGCTCTAAATCTTTTCCAAGCTGGGAAAACGACTATGAGAATGAAGTGTTTACGCAAGGGAAAGAGCAGGATGACGCTAGTAAGAGAAAGAAAGATGACTCGTGGGATTATTCCTGTGTAGGGCTCACTTCAGCCAGGCATTAAGAGTTTATCGGTCAGACGGTTTTGCGGTGAAGGGCCCTTACCTTGGATGAATTGCATTGTTGCGTTCCTAGAGGTGCTTATTCTATGCAATGATTATACATCTGACTACAAAGCCGTACTGGTATTTGAGCCGCTGGAGATATACTCTGCTGCAGAGGAGAAGCGCGAGTATTTAGGGTCCCATCAGCTCAACTATCCTAGCAAAACGCACTGGTACAAATTATCTAAGCCTCTGAAAACCAATACATAAGGTCAAGATGAATGGTTAACGCAAAATCATCGATATCCGGTCTTCGAAGGTGGAAGACACCATCTACCAGCAAATAATGGACAGCATGTGGAAGGAAATCCGCACGCTTCCCATTCTCATTCTTTATGGTGCTGAGGGGTTGCAACACTGGAACACTCATTCCCATGCACCAGATTACTACCTGAGACATGAGGAGCTGCATATACTTAGTACTCAGGCTCACAGTATAGCGAATTCCATTGAAAATGAAACTGCTATTATGGACCCTGGAAGCGCGGAAGTACCGGTCCTTGGAAGATAGACAGGTATTAATAGTGGCGCTGGCTGACAACCGCCCATCACCGAATGTAATAGGAGCCTCAACAAAGTGATCGTCCTACTCAATGCCCTCGAAGAGCAGAAAAAGAATGTTACTTATTATGCCCTGGACTTAAGCTATCCAGAGCTGGTGTCAACTCTCAAGTCGATGCCGCCGGGAAGGTATGCTTACGTCCGTTACGCTGGCCTTCATGGCACATTTGAGGATGGGCTGAAAAGGATGAAAACAGATCCCGAAGTTCGAGAACTGCCGCACTATGTGCTTTTTCTTAGCTCCGCAGTAGGTAACTCCTCCAGAGAAAACGCTGCCAGCTTCTTGGCGAATGTAGCGGCTACTTCGCTATCTGCGCAACCCAATAAGTGCTCAATTTTAATTGGAATTGACTCTTACAAGATGCCCACCAAGATCCTACGAGCATACACATCGGAAGGTGTAGTACCTTTCACCATGTCCGGCCTCAAGTACGCGAGCTCAATTCTGGCGGAGGGCCTATCGATTCGACGGGTGTAGAGCGAATGAATTCCTTGATGGCGGTGTATCGCTCTGCAGCCCATGGGCCTTCGTACAACAGATTTGCTAGAGTAAATAGCAGCGTGAAATCCACGGGCTCTATACCCCGGCCTAATTCTCTTGTCTTACTTAATGCCGCTGTGTATGCTGTAGCATTCTCGGAGTGACAAAACCACTCTGGACTTGAGCAAACCGCCAGCACTGGCTGTGGTTGCAAGCCTCCACTTCGAGTCTTAAAGTCAGCGCGGGTTCTCGAGTAGGCAACAGAAACATCGTGTCCTTCTGCTATCTGTCAGACCAGCTCCGCATCCTCTAAAGTCAGGGCAAAGATGGATACGCAATCTAGGGTCCGACAGGCGGGGAGGACACCATGTGTACTTAAAGCTCCAGGTATTGGCTTCAAGCCGATAACATTGTTGAACCCAGCAGGAACCCGACCGGATCCTGCCGTGTCGGTGCCTAAGGAGTACAGCATCTGTCCCTAACTGACCACCACAGCACTCCCCGAACTGCTCCCACCGCTGACCCGGTCAGGATCAAAAACATTTGCAACAGCTCCACACTGTGGACGGGTGCCCACGGGTCCCGTGGCGAACTGATCCAGGTTTGTCTTTGCGACCACAATAACCCCCTGATTCTTGAGCCGAGATACTACTGTTGCGTCTGTGGTGAAAGGTTCTGTTGCAAATAATGGACATGCCGCCTTTGTGCAGAACCCAGCCGCATCAATGTTGTCTTTGACGGCAAATGGGACGCCAAAGAGCGGAATGTCCTTCCCTTCCGCGCGAAGGGCTGTGATCTGCTCCCATTGCGTGTCGATCTGTGCTGGCATTGCTAGAGCAATCCATGCGTTGGATGAATTGTCTCGTGCTCTCTCGATTAGAGACAAGATGTGAATTGGCCCTGAGGCAGTTTCCTGTAGTGTTTGCCACTGTGGGATTGTGAATGTGTATCCTACTTTCGAGCTTCCCGATATTCGTATCTTTATCAACCCATTATTCCAACTGCAAATTCAATTTATGGGCTGTTATCTCTCCCTCCGCCCGCGTCGCCCGCCGTCGGCGCGACACACTGCCTTCCGATGTCCCCCCACAATTTGATATATAGAGTATGACTTTCTCTGAGCTAATGTTATTTTTCATAACCCAACTTAAGCTTCATTGCATCTCCCCGTGTAGTATTCACCTTGTCAGCCACCAATGGTGAGCCGCTCTCCATGTCCTAGTTAGTCCTTGCCGCCCGATCGGTGCTGTGGGGAACTACCCATAACCCTACTGGCGAGAAAAGCATTAGCCATTTTAGATCAAACATAGACAAATGAAGTGTATAATGAATACGCTATAGATTTAGAATCGACAGTTTGGGTTCCTCATATATATTCAGAACTTCCCGTCTCTGTTCAGAACTGCGCTGGCACTTTTACTCTGGTCTACATGCTCTGTAGCCGCACAATTTACCTACATAATATAAGTAGCATACACGTCGTCAGCATACTTCCGAATGTCAAACTTGCGATACATGTGAGTGCTAAATTGTCATCGTGCTGACCAAGCGGGCCGTATGTTGATATAGTTGAATAAGGTCCGATAAAGACTGCACTGGAACTCGGGCCTTACGCAGGTGGATACCTGTCAATCGTACTACTCACCTGTCGCACTGTAACTCTAGTGCATGTTATTAATTGGGCAGGACCCTTGTTTGGAAAGATATAGTATGCAGGTGGAAGCTTTATGCGGGTGGGAGACTATGTAGTATTTAGATCTTGTTTTTTAGATATTCGCTATCGATCTGTACCTTGTAACTATGGTCATATAATGCTGTAACACGCCTCATAGCTCCTCAGACAATTAATCACTTTAATGAAATACTATGATAGACTTTCGCGGCTTCTCAAATATGTCATAGCCCCAGTGTCCGTCCACAGATCAGGAAAAGTGGGTTGTTATGTCCCCGTTTGGCCCCCAAGATTGATCCCTTCGTATATTGATTGGAAAGGATCAGGATGCGGACCACTCAACGTTTGCGCACAAGCCTTGCCAAGGAAATCACTGCCTCATTGCGATTCAGTCACTGATGTTAGTTGCGTGGGATTTCAGCCTCGCCCAACAAGGCACATATCGAGATGCGAGCTACGTTTATACGTGGGATGTGAATGTACCCTTGCTATACCAACCCCCTCCCTCATGCTGACTAGACCATGGCTCGAAAAACATCGGACCGCACGGAAGCGGTCGAATTGCTTACTATTTTACGGGAAGAAGAGCCTTTGGGGCCTAATTCGCTGAGCGAAGATGGCAAAGAAAGCGGCCGAGCAACAGATAAACCTGCGCAAAAGCATAACCGCAAAAACAACACAGAGAACTGGAAAAGGTCACTATATCTGGGATCGCTCTCCAGCATAGTCGTACTTTTATTCAATATTTCATTCGTTGCCTGGGCCGTCTCACATCATGATCTTACGAATAACCGCGGCGTGTTATTTACTGGGGGATGTAACAAGGCGAAGAGATTGAGTACTGGTATTCATTTGGTGATCAACATCCTCAGCACTCTCTTGCTATGTGCAAGCTCATATACAATGGTATATCTCGCTCATTGATTTACGCGTGTAACGGATCGAATTAACAAGACCACAGCAATGTCTCTGTGCTCCTACTCGGGCAGAAATCGATCGTGCCCACCAAAAGAATAAATGGTTGGATATTGGTGTCCCCAGCATGCGCAACCTATTGCGGATATCGAAGATAAAACTCGTTCTATGGTCAATTTTATTGCTATCCTCGCTTCCCCTTCATCTATTGTAGGTGATATTAGAGGCTCCTCTGAACCAATCTAAAATATAGCAACACTGACAGCAATAGCAGTTATAATTCCACTATTTTCTCCACTATTACCGATCGTGAGTATGAAATCTTTGCTGGAAACAAGCCATTCAGCAATTTCAATCCAGATAATGTTCGTCCGCCTCATGATTCGTTCCATAAGAATGGTTCCCTGTGGATAAATCCCTATTTCTCCTTCTCTAGACTCGTCGAAAAAGGAGTTAACAATGAGCTCTACCATATGAATAATGCCGATTGCATGTCTGCCTATGCCACGAACTTTCAATCAGAGTATGGCAATGTGCTTTTACTGACAGATGATTTCCACCCGAATGATACTGATTTTGCATTCCTGATATCTGAGATGGTCTCTACGCCCGTGAGGGGGAACAATCCGTACGGTTGGATGTGTTGCGATACAACGGCATACTTCTGCAACCCTGACGGTTTATGTCGCGATCAGCTTCCAGCAATCCGTGCCCATCCGGACAATTGGACGGTTAGTGGCTATCGCGTGAAGTCCTGCTTGGCAGAGAAGCTTCCCGGAAAGTGCAAGCTAGAGTATAGCCTTACTCTCGCTGTGATCGTTATCATCTTCAATATTATCAAAGCGGTTATCATTTGCGCCGTTGCTCTCACAATGACAGACCTACCAATCCTCACCACCGGCGACGCAGTCGCATCCTTCCTAAAAGTGCCACAGACAACACCACGGGACAACTGCCTCATGACCAGAAAATTAGCCAATAAACCAATCTCCAGTCCTCTACCATACAATTCAAACCCCCAAAGATGGGCCACAGCAGTATCAATTTCCCGATGGACCACCTGCATAATATCGTACGCGCATACCCCCACCCATCAACCCACCCACTACTTACCAGACCTCAATAGCTACACAACAGCCATAGCAATCTGCGTCGCCCTCCTCTGTTTTGGCCTTAGCCAAGTAAGCAACAAAGGCAAGATCTGGTCCGGCCTCGGCATCACAAACACTGAAACCCTCATAAGTGGCGACGCCTGGCCGTCGTCCCTCCTCGCTAACACCATCATCGCCAACACCCCCCAAGTCATCTTCTCCATCCTCTACTTCGCCTCCAACAGCGTTTTCACGGCCATGGCCCTCGCCGCCGAATGGAGCAACAACGCCGTACAACGAAAGGGCCTCCGCGTCTCCACAGCCCCGCACGGCTCCCAGCGAACAACCTACTTCCTCTCCCTTCCTTATACATACGCTGTCCCTCTGATAGTTCTCTCGACGCTCCTCCACTGGCTAATCTCCCAAAGCCTATTCCTAGTGAATGTAGAAGCGTATACGATGGAGCTGGAGCGGTTACCATTATTCGATTTCGCTACCTGCGGGTATTCAGCTGTGGCGATTGTAAGCGCTATTTGCGTGGGTGGGTTTATGCTTATTTGTCTTGTTGGTATGGGGTTTAGGCGGTTAGGGTCAGGCAGGCCTGTTGCCGGGAGTTGTAGTCGGGCTATTGCTGCGGCGTGTTATCCTTCTTCTGGGGAGATGGGTATAGAAACCATGCCTTTACAATGGGGCGTTGTGTATTCGGAGTTAGAAAATGGGATGGAAGTGGGTCATTGTGCGCTTTCGAACGAGGAGGTTGAGACGCCGGTTGAGGGGAGTTTATATATATGATATGGCTGGCCATATAAGGAAGTGTCGAACTTGTCTCCCGTCCGTAAGATGTTCGATCATGCTTTATTACGAGACACCGGTGATCCTCATGTCTTACATTGTCCCACCTATTCCCGCGTGACTTGGAACCCAGTATATGGGGAAATGGAGTCATTCTTACCAATCGATTTTATAACTGAAATTTATAAAAGTGGGTATGATCCAATCCCTTTGTTGGCCAATGTCCATTGCCCCAGGCGTCATCAGCCCGACCTGATTCTCGCTACCCTACATCCTGTGCCATTCTTTATTCCACAATATTGTCTGATCCTCCCAGTATTGCTATCCTTCTAACTATCCAATTAGGAAACGGGTCACATTGGCAGCGTCCGCTTAACCCTGAGTAAATACTGCTCTTCGTAGGTACGTGGGCGGGCCGAATAAAGGTGTCATCTGATAAAGCTTTGCCTTGTCTACCCATCGAAAAATGGCTAGAAGCCTGTCACATCTGCTCAATCATTGTATCTACAACACCTAGAAATAATCTTCCTTGTTGCGCTATACGGGATATTGTCGACTCCGCAGCCAAAGACTGCGAGGGCTGTTCCCTCCTTCTACAAGGCGTGGCCTATGCTATACCAGTTCTAGGGGCCATGCACGGAGTGTCGATTTCCCCTCTAGCCTACGGACCGTTGCTCGGGAGAATGATCTCGAGGGTCTTTTTCGTCTCTACATAATGACAGGTGGCACTTGGTGGCAACATGAGTGGTTTCTTGAGTTCTACTCAGACTAAGAAACTCAGGCTAGCTCTACAAAGCAAAAAATGTAGAACTATACTGACATCTATAGCTATCCCTTTACCACAGCCAGGGTCTGTAGTCAGCATACCTCCCGCTCCGGGTGACACTCTGCCGGACATCGCATTCTCCATGGTTTCCAAATGGATCCAGCAATGTGATGAAAGCTACGATGATTGTACGAATGATAAAGAGCGCATAATATCCACCCGTTTTGTTTGACAAAGGTAGCTCCAACACTGGTCAAATTTATGGAAACTTGCCAAGAAAGTGGTTACTATGCGTGTCTCAGCCATTGCTAGGGCTCTGGTTTTTTTTATTTTATTTTATTTTTTTTTTTGAAGACTGACAAAGCAACGTTTGAAGCCAATAAGAAGGGAATAGCTTGGGCCTCTCTGACGCTATTCCGATGGGCAGAAGACTTCGCATATGTTGGCTATGGGTTGACGCTTTGTTCATAATCCAGGATGACGATTTGGACTGGGCCAGAGAAGCGGCAAGCGTAGTACCTGTATACGAGAACACTTATATTAATATATCTGCGACGAAATCTAGGAATGGTAATGGCCCGGCTGCTCTCGCGAGAAGTGGAAATGAAACTCATTATCTGCTCTAATAACGGGAAAAGGTATACTATCCGTGTTTTTGCTAAACCTGGAGAGTGGGCAGAGCTCGAGTCAGGGGATCAATTTGTGGCGTTTGTTTGTTGCATTGGTATAGGGATAGTTTTTCATCGCCGTCCTGGCATCCACTCCTACTCCGTGGCTGGTACTACTAAGAACACATTCTCTCCGAGAGCACTGCATTTCGGGCAGAAAGAAGTGCTGTGGGAATGTAGAACAAGAGCATATTGTGAATGCCTCTTCCTTCAGCATACACATAACTTAAAATCAGAGTACAGAATCTTAGGCAGGAGACCTCCCAACCCGGAAGCTCCTAGCTCTGGAAGCAGGTTCGAGAAGTCCGACCACGAAACGTGATATGCTGAGAGTAGCCTTCAGAGACTGGATGAGGGAGTGTCGTAGCCTGGAAGGAGAGTCCAAGGCTTAGATCCAGATACAGGAAAGGGTTATGATGGACCAAACGTGTCGTAGGATTGTCGAAGGCTACAGCAGTGGAGCGCTTACTAGACCCTCAGATAGATTACCCGCAATTTCTGGGCTAGCGAAAGGTTGATGCTGGAGACGACAGATTATTTAGCTGGTATATGGCCCCCAAATCTACCACAAGGTCCTTTTAGCATAGCTCACGATGTTATCCCAAAAGTTACATGTTGGTTTGCGCCATCTTGGTCCTGGGCTGCTATAAACAATGCTGTCAAATTCTATACTCGAGGTGCTACTACGACTGGCGGTACCCTCTCAGATCAAACTTAAGCAACCCACTATTCTAGAAACGACCTGCACTCCGAAAGGAGATTCAACAGGGCAGGCCGTGTCAGGGTCTCTCACGCTAGAAGGTCCCCTTGTCCCTGCGTGCCTTTCCATGAAACACCCAGCGACGCCACACTCAACATAGGTTGTAATAATAGTTATATGTCTCTTAGACTAGATTTCATGACCATGTGTTCGCGTAACTGTCTTACTGGGTAGCTAATCTCAGCCAGCACTATGTCCTGCAGCCATCTCTCTTCGGGGGAGACTCATCACTCATATGCTATCCACATCCGAGGTGAGCCAGCAGAAGTAAGTCCCGATGTTGGTCTATAGCGAACGTGAATGCTTTTCTCTTTCTATCGCTGTACTTGTTCTTGGACATTGTCTTCGCATTAGGTAGTTTATTAGTCGTACTTGTGCAAGAAAGAACAAATAATAAGGTCTCAATATTGGGAATTACCGTTCTGTAAACTGATACTAACATCGAAGGAATTCACATCGACACATAAGAAAAAAGCAAAAGCCTTCCCAAATCCCGCGGGCCATTAAACATATGTACACAGTGTCTCCAAGATATTGCCAAAATCGTATATACAGGCGTAGATGGACCGAATCTCGTCTCACAAGTCAAACGATCGATTATAATGCAAAGATACTGATTAAAGGAAGGGCGCGAACTAGCTAAACGACATCCATCCCGCTACGCAGAGTATCAGACGAATCCGTCGAAGACCTACGGTTCCGGACAAACTTCGGCCACGTATTCGTCAGAACGAGATACTTGACGCTCTCCTCCGCGTTATCGAAGACATTCGGACCAAAATCCTCCGGAACATCACCCCAGTACTGCACCCGGTCGCTGATAAGGGACTCCGAACTGGTCGTTGGTTTCTTCGCCGGATCCTGGAAAGTAGGCAACATGGGCGATTTCATAGGGTAACTGCCCGGGGTCTCGAAAGGAGTGGCGGGATCGACCTCATTCTCTTCGCCGTACAGGGTGCAAGCGGCACCCTCGAAGATATTCTCAAGTTTCTTCAGATCCTGCGAGGATATGTTGACGGGAAACTCGGCGTGCCGAACACTGATGAACTGGGTGTAGATGCGTAATGCGCGGTTGAACTTCTCGCGGATCAGCGCCCTTGTGTTGTCGTCGTTGGGGGCGGTGTTGTCGTGGACGGCCTTGGGTAGGGAGCTCTTCCATTCGGCGACGCTGGTAAGGAAGGCGACGTTCTCGCCGGAAAAGTCGTGGAGGGCGGAGAATTTTTGGAGAGGGCCAGGGTTGCGTGCGAGGACGTGTTCGAGGGCACCCATTGTTAGGATACTCTCGCGGTTGCTAGTGGCGGTCTCCACGGAGTCGTTGTTGGATTTCCAACCCGACATCATCGAGTCGACCATTGTGGAGATTGAGCCGAGGGATTTGCCATCGGGGCCGGTGGTATCTTTCTTTGACTCCCACTGTGCGATCGCGTCGAGGGTCTCGCGACGTAGGGACTTGGAGCGCATCACTTCCCAGCAGGGAAGGAAGACGGTAAAGATTTCCATGACCAAGATGGAAAGACAGATCCTATGACCGAATCAGCATAATAACTCCTGGGATAAATCTATTTGGAACACTTACCACTGCGGAGGGATCCAGTACTGGTTGACCACCTCCATGCCGGGAACGTAAAGACCGATAAGCCACATTGGGGTAGCGGGGAGGCTGCACTAGAGGTTAATGAAATATCTCGTTTCTTCTACCAGCATACATACTTGGCAATCGCACAGCCAATTGTCTGAACTCGCCAGCCTTGGGTATCGTGGATGTGACGAGACTTCCACAGAACAATGGGGGCAACGATCCAGGACCAGAACAACTGCCCAAGCACACTAGGCCACCTATGCATTGTTAGATATCAATTATCTTCCAGCAAATGCTGTGCACCGCCTTCAATACTTACCACTCCCAGCCCCGACCCATCTCCATCGCCTGCTCCATTGGGGTACCGTGAACCTCAGTGCCAGGAATGCCCCAGGAGCTGTGCCACTTGCGGGAAATGACCCACATCAGGACTGTAAGAAATAACTAAAACATCGGTTAGATGGGATATCCAGGAGGTGACAGAGAGCCATCTTCCCACCTGAAAGGGGATTGCGATCGCAAGACAAACGAGGGTCTTTTTAGTATAATCCAGACGACGAAAGCGGTTGATCAAGCCGCCTTTGGGTTTCACTTCGGGTACGGGGTCAGGATGGCGGCTATCATGGTGGGCATATTTCTTTTGGAGTTTCGCGACGTGAAGGAACCTGCTGTTCGAAGCGTGGAATAGCGAAATGCCCCAGGGTAAATAGATGCCCATCACCCAGTACTGGGCGTCTCCGGGCATGATGGCACCGATCATCGTTCCGAATTGGACGCATCCCCAGTATAAATGAAGAAGTACGATGGCAGGTAGCGACAGACTGAGTCCTCGGATTCGAAGTGTAGGCATGTCGCGGTGGACGATGAGATAGGCCACGCCAAACGCAACGGCGACGGTCCACACACCTGCCCAGCATGCCCACCATATGCTCACCGGCGAGTAGTCGGCCTGCGGCTTGGAATCGGGGGTAATTCCGAGTTCGGATCCCATAGTTACGGTATTGTCTAGGGTGCTGAAAGAAAGGCTAAAGGAGAGTGAGGAAGTTGGGTAGCACTTATCAGCAACCGTTAGTCAAAGCCGTCAAGACTGTAGAAGGATTGGAGCCATGACCGAAAGAATCAGCGAAGGCAGCGGCCGGCCGCGGCACTGGGAATTGTGGCCAAATTAATGAGTTTGCTTTGTCTTAGGCTACAGATTTCGTTGGTAGATTAGATCGAGGATGTACATGCACAATTGCTACTTGGGGACAACTAACCCCCTGGGGTCTAGCCTGCGTAGGAAGTCGTGCGCCTACAATTTGAAATACTTTATCTCTTGGCAGCGATCTCGATCAGCCAAACTATCGAATTTTGATTCAGATCTAAATTTACTAGTCCGGCCCACCGGCCACGCTCACATTCAGCCCGTGCTTTCGCCACGTTGAGCCACTTTTCAAACCCATTTCATAGCGATAGAAAGGTATCCCAATAAATATGGCATGTTAACAGAGCAGAGAGATAGGCCTCAAATCGAGCAGTTCAGGGCAGGTTGAACCACTGATTAACGGTCGGTTAAACGGGAGGGGACCATATTAAATTGCAATGGGATCGATCGTCCGTCCCGTGGAAGGTGGGCCGTGCTAGCGAACCTAGCGACTGGGTTTAATCGGAGCAGAGGCCGGCCTCCCACATCGACAAGACCTCACACGAATCATCCTGTGGCGGTTGAGGTCGATACCTGCCCTCCTAGGTAGTAGTTCCTACACTAGCATGTACAGTGAGCTCAAAATCCGGTACCAGTGAAGCTTTGCCTTAGATTGTGATATACCTTGAATTTAGACGGATTACCCGTTAATAGGAGGTAAACCTGCAGGCAGAAATTTCCCAGACATGATATCTCAGGGTATGAGGAACTTCAAGCCCACCTGAAATTCTCCCAGAATTCCAGACTCATGGCCATTCTCAAGTATAAATTTGGCGTCGCGCAGAAAGTTGGTCAAGATCCTTGGCTCGCACTGCTGTGTTAACTCTGTTGATAGGGATCGGACATATTATAGGTGGATTCTTGTCCGTAGTATATTTTTTATTATACCTAGGCCTATCATCTCTATATGGTCCTTGTGGAGACTTACGACACAGAAAAACATCACATGCATATGCAATACCCCAGTATCCAAACAGTTTTAAACCATCTTCCAAGACTCTGCAGGGATGAGATTAAGCCCTCGCCAAGCATCAGAGTCATCTAGAGACTGAGATGATCACCGTACTGCTATATATTGCGTCTCCTGTGGGAACAATTGGCTTGTGGAGGGATATTAGTCGAACATGAGTCAGGCTAGTTACAGGCTATCCAGAAACTGGAGTCACCACTTATACCCTTTGATTGTTTCAGCAACCCCGATGTGAAACCAAGCTAAACTACTTTTAGAAATCTGCTCGGAATATTGTTAACCCGTGTATGTATTGTAAAATACAAATAACAAAACTTTATATATTTTACCGAGCCTAGAGCCCACATGCCCCCAACACAAGAGTTTACCATTGCATCAATCGTAGCCTTATGCATAAATGCATTGAAGCAATAGCTATTGCCGAGTGGCCACATGTAAAGGTACCTTGCTTAAACATCCTAAAAGAAAATTTTTCCTTTTCTATCAAAAAAGGGGGCTAAACTAGCATAGAATATATAAAGACCAACTTTGTAATAGATCCTATACCTGTTCTTCTAACACTGACTCGTGAGCCTGATATTACATTATCCGCAGCTCAATCATAATGTGACAAGTGTACAGTGGACATTGATCCTGCTCTACCCCGCCCATAGCCTAGCTAATTCCTCTGTTTATAATTCTTTTCTCGCGGATTTCATGGAATTCAATGCTTTAAATCCTATACTGTGAATAAAGAAATATATCCAGATTTTAATTATTGGTAACTCGAAGGATTCTCCCAAAAGTGGATTATTATTTTTATCTATCTACTCGTTACTGAGCTTTTAATTATTATCTGCGCGCCCACTCTTGATTTCCAACGAAATACCACAATGCGTCTTATCAATGTGCAGACCTACAGATTAGAAGAGTTCTTCAATGAGCAAGTGCCTCCTTACGCTATACTGTCACATACATGGGGGAATGATCAGGACGAAGTATCATTTCGAGACATTACTGAGGGAAATGCTGAGAGTGCCAGTGCCAACCATTGGCCAATCAAACTCGAGGGGTGTTGTAAACAGGCAGCAAAGGATGGCCTTAATTATGTATGGATTGACACCTGTTGCATTGATAAAACCAACTCAGTGGAACTTGGCGAAGCCATCAACTCCATGTTTCGATGGTATAAGGAGGCTACAAAATGTTATGCTTATCTTACCGATGTCACTGTTGAAAGCGTTGAGGTCAATAATCTGCACATGAAGTCTGAATTCTCCACTAGCCGTTGGTTCCAAAGAGGTTGGACACTACAAGAACTCCTGGCACCTAGAGAGGTCTATTTCTACAATTCTACATGGACCTTACTTGGTCAAAAAAGAAATACAAAAATGTCACGAGTGATTGAGAATATTACCGGTATATCGCGTTTGTTTCTACTAGGAACAGCATTGACGGAAGCCAGTATCGCACAACGCATGTCTTGGGCTTCAAGAAGGATAACAAAAAGGAAGGAAGATACCGCTTACTGTCTTCTTGGGATTTTTGATATTATGATGCCAATGATCTACGGGGAGGGTGATCGCGCATTCATCCGTCTACAAGAAGAACTTATTAAAAAAACCAGAGATGACTCAATTTTTGCATGGGGCCTGGGATCCACGGAATCTGCCCCCACTGATTCTAAACATATAATCTCCGCGGGAGTATTTGCAACTTCTCCAGCCGAATTTGTCAACAGCAGCCATATTCTATCGGGAAAGCGCGAGATCAAGTCTACGGCTGTATTCATTGTTGACGGCGGATGTGTTCGATCAAACCTCCCGCTTTATAAAGACTCAGCTGGCCAGCTATTCGGACTGCTTAATTGTGGCCCCGGGTTAAATGGCAGTGGTAGAATGGTAGTGGGAATGCCTCTTAGTGACAGCCTGTCTGGCGAATATATTCGACCGGAAGGACGTTGTTCACAAATACTTCCGGTGTCTGAAGCTGCCACCTCCGCCCCGCAAATTTATATCAAGATAGAGCGACAACAAAGGACCGTTCCAGGATCCAGTTATAGCAACTGGTTTGAGATCGAGGACCCTAGTGAAGCCGGCTTAAAACTGATTGAGGTAGAACCACAAGACTGCTGGTTGGAAGAAGAGTCTCGTATTGCTATAAGTAACGACCCTTCCGGAAACGCTGTACAGCAATATTGGATACGATTTCGTCCAGAAGATGAAGGATCTACTGACTTCCTTGTGCTACTTGCGCTAGAGATACTGGGATCACAGGTGAAGGCTCAGTGTCATATTATGACATCCTCTCAATCTACTCCGCTGAAGGATTTAGTTCAGTACTCTAGCAATATGAGACAAACAGCTTTTGGTAAGAGTATTGCTAGTGATTGCTCGCGGAGCATCTATGTAACTGTGGAGCAAGACACTACAGCCAGGCAAATATTTATTGTTAAACTGGCTAAGACAACTACGTCGCCCAGTGTCACTGTGGATGCAACATTTGAGTTGGAACTACAGGCGGCAAAATCTGAGCGGGATAAGGCAGCAAAAGCAAAGGAAAAGCTTTATCTGGAAATAGAAGAATTTAATCAGCAACGAGGAACAGCATATACGCTGGAGTCCGTTGAAAAACGTTTAGCTGAGATAAGAGAAGAGAAAGACCAGCTAGAGAAGATTCAAAAATGGTGGGTCGAATTGTCCAAGAATGGATTATCAATTGAGAGAAAGTTTGATGATCTTGAAAAAACAGCAATGGCAAAGGGATATGACCCAGTACTGACTGCAGAAATCAGTATTTCAAATGGCGAGTTGGTGACGCGCAGCACACTGACGGGGCATTCTTTTCATGTTTGGAGTGTGGTGTTCTCCCCAGATGGTAAAGTCCTGGCGTCCGCCTCCGCCGATAAGACTGTCAGGCTCTGGGAGGTGGCCACCGGGGAGGCACGCAGTACACTGACGGGGCATTCTTCTTCTGTT